GCAGCGGCCACGCGCTGGGCATCTGGGCGCGAGCCCTGAGCAGGCCCTCTGGGGCTGGGGACGAGGCTCCCCTGGCTGGTGTTCACGTCCGGGGGCCACAGAGGCTTCTCCCCTCCTCCCGGCCCCGCCCTGAGCACGGCTCCCTCCTTCCCAAGCCCCTGCTGTCTCCTGTGCGCGGCCGGATGCACATTGCCACGTCGCCGCTGAGCAGGGTCCGGGCGGGAGCTCAGCCCGCCCTTGACGTCAGACCTGCCTGTCCTTGTCCCTTCGGTGTCTGGACCGAGAGCTCAGGAAGGGTCCTCCGCAGCCACACCCACACCCACACCCACATCATTGTCTCCTCTGTGTCTCTTCCTGCTGGAGGCACCGCGGATGCTGTTTCTCAGTCCACGGGGTCGGGGTGCCGAGGGCAGGATACAGGTTTATGGGGGTTCAGCGCACGAGCCTGTTTCTCCTCTGTGCTGCGGGACCCCTTCCCCTGGAGCCTACATCTTGTCCGGAGACCGCCCGACGAGGGCCTCCAAACAGTCAGAGGGTGTCCTCAGGGTGCGAGGGGGCCCGGACACTGTCAGGTGAGCTCAGCAGCTTTGGTGTGGCCTCAGGTTCACCTTGTGGGTCAGCAGATGCCCTGGAGACATGCCTGTGGCTGTGGGGAGGCCCTGAGGGGGACAGACCCCTTCCACACTGCCCATGGCTCCATCCCGTCTGAGCAATGCCTGTGGTTCTGCCCTGCGGACGCCTCCCAGGCCCGGGGGACTGGCCTCCTTTCCGCGAGACCTTTGGCTGGTCTCTGCCGCCCCGAGGACGAGGGCGCGGTTTCTGGGTCTTGGCGCCCGCCCCATCGCCGGTCCAATCCCCGCTGCTGGGCTCACGTCCCAGAGTGACCCCGCTCTCCCCCACGGGCTCCCAGCGGCCAGGCCACGGGTGACACTCATTCCAGATACGAGCCAACGGATTCCTGAGAGGGACGATGCGGCTTCTCTCTCTGTGGTCTGGACCGGGAGCCGAGGAGCTGGGCGGCCGCGCTGTTGGTCCTGTGACATTTGCAGCAGCTGAGGGCTCATTACTGTGCTACACTGTGTGCCTGGCCTCGGGGGGTGGCCGTCCCTGGGACCGGCTCCTGTCGCCCAGCAGTTTGAACCCAGGGCCGGTAGAACAGGTCGAACGGGAGCACCAGGCCGAGCAGGGCCCGGAGCCGCCCCTCATCTGCTTCCCCCACCCTCGCCCGAACCAGCAGGGCCGAGCTGGGGCAGCCGGGAGGGCAGGGGGGGGCCAGAACCGGGGTCTCTGCTGCTGCAGCTCTGTCTCCTCCTTCCCTGCTGTTCAAGGTCCCCTGAGGCCCAGACTCCACTGTGTATTCGTGATTTTGTATTTCTTAATGAAGTGGGCCCTCCAGATGGTCTAAGCTTCAAGTGCCACAGAGCCCACGGCCCCCACCCAGACGGCCCCACGGCCGGAGCTGCTGCGGCCTCGCTGCCCAGCTCAGCTGGCTGTGGCCCCCTCGGCTTTGCCCGTGACGCCGCTGTCTGCTTTCAGCCCTCTCGCTTTCTACGGAGAAGGGCCACTCTCCACCGAGGCTCAGGTCCTCTCCTCTTCCTGGACGGGCCGAGAGCCTGGGAGCTGGCTCCCCTCCCCTTGGACAGGCTCCGGTTGTCTGCATGTTTCAGGCGTGAGCGGGAGACAGGGCACCGTGCTCTCCTCTCCGACGCAGGAGCGGGCTGGCCGCCCCGTTCCCTCTGAGCAGCGGGGTCACCTCAGCTTGTCGGGCACGTCCAGCTCGAACTCTTAAAGCCTGGGCCTCCCGGGGGACAGCTGGGAGTGGGGAGGCTTCAGCAAATGACTGAGAAGCAAGAGAAAATATGAGGATGCTGGGGACAGCTGTGGGGCAGGTGCCTGTGTGTGCACATGTGTGCACGTGCATGCTTGTCTGCGTGCCTGTGTGTGCACATGTGCGTGTGCGCGCACACATGTGTGTGCACATGTGCGTGTGCGCGCACACATGTGTGTGCGTGCATGTATGCTTGTCTGTGTGCCTGTGTGTGCACATGTGCTGGTGTGTGTGTGCACACATGTGTGTGCATGCATGTGTGTGTGTGTGCTTGTGTGTTTGAGGGCTGCCTCCTGCCAAAACCAGGCTTGTGCTTGCATACTTCTTTGCTGAGTATTAAATCCTCCCCAGATTACTCTTCCCTTTGTTTCTGGATGGAAATGTCTCAGCAGAAAGGCGAGCAGCTGGGGGGGGGGCGGGTATGTGGCCCCACAGCTTGTGGGTTTTCCGCCCCCACCAGCCCTTATCTTCCACGCACACAGCACGGGGCCCGCACAGCCATGCGCACCGCACCCAGGCTCTGCCCCAGCACGGCCCCCGGCCCACACCCGCTTCCCAGGCCCACCCTTCCTGCAGAGGAGGCCTGTCCGGGCTGAGGTGGAGCCCGGGCTGCCGGCCACGGCTGACGTCCAGGCGGGCAGGCACTTCCTCTCTGGCCCCATCACGGCTCAGCCGGGCGGTCCCTGCAGGGAACCAGTGACTTTTGTTCTCCGCCAGAGCAGTGGGCACCTCAGACCAGCTCTAGCTTTCGGACCGGGGGGCCGCGCTGTCTGGGGAGATGACCCCCGGCCGCACCAGACACACCCTGCTTTGTGCGCAGGCTCCTTCCTGAAAAGCCGGGAAGAACCTGGATAGAGGCAGACTGCCTCCTGCTCCGAGCGCATGGGAGGGTGTGCTGTCCAGAGGCACCCCGCCCGGGGCCCTTCTGTAAAGGGGGGTCGCCTGGCCGCGTGGAGACTGATGGATGCGTGTGGTGAGTAGATGGGAAGGTTTGCAGACCAAATGCTGTGTTAACTGTGCTGCGTGGGACTGTTGCCCGAAGGACCTCGCTGCAGCTGGGGCACAGGGTCCCTCCGCCCCGGAGAACGGTCCACGGCGGTGAGCGTCAAGCGCGGCTGTTTCCTAACGTGGGACACTCCTCCGGTCCCGTGTCAGAGGGAGGGCGGCTGCGGAAGAGCGTGCTGTGCCGTGAGGTCGCACCAGCAGGCGTGGGAGGCACCCACGTCCCCAGGATCCGATCTGCTCCCCGCGCTGCGTCAGGGTGGACATCACGCTGCTTCTGCAAATAAATGCAATTCCCGCTCTTAGCCACGTCTGAGGCATTTCTCCGTGTGTCTGCCTCTCCACCCGCCACCCATCTAGCTACAGTATCGTTCTGTCGCCTGTCTACTTACAATGTGTCCGTCATCCATCCCTCTGTAATCTACCTACCTGCCATTTCTATCTATCACCCATCAACCAGCCAATCGTCCACCTCTCTGTCACCTGCACTCACTTCCACGGTGAAGCGCAGACACCGCAGTGGGCGATGTTTGGGAGCCCGAGGCGGTGGGTCCCCACGCCCAGAACCCCATCCCCTCGGTCACAGGTGGGGAGCTCGCCAAGAGAGACCTTTCCAAGTTCCGTTACTTGCAAACAAGGCTGCAGCGACAGTGTTCAAGGGCTCCCTCCTCCACGTCCTTGCCCACACTGTCGCCTTTTATACGTTGAAACACTAGCCGCCCTGACACCTCACCGTGGTTTCGATCGGCGCTTCCTGAGCATCTCAAGTATCTCCGTCTGCCCTTTCCGCGTCTTCGGAGAAATGTCTGTTCAAGTCCTTAGCCTATTTTTTAACCAGGGTATCATTATCTACTTATTTATGTTTGCTCGTGAGTGGTCGGAGCTTCTCATGTATTCTGGATACTAATCTCTTAGCAGGTATTTGACTTCCCACCTCGTGCGTTGCTTTCCATCTGTGATGGTTGCCCTGCTGCGCAGACGCGTCTTAGTTTGATGTGATCCCTCCACTTGTTCATTTTTGTGTTTGTTGCCTGTGCTTTTGGTATCTATGGAGTCAGTGTGGAGACCGAGGTCGTGCGGATTTCCCCTGTGTTTTCTTCTAGGAGTTGCTTAATCTCAGGCCTTACATTTAGGTCTTTCACCCACTCTGAGTTGGTTTCGTGTGGGGTGTAAGAAGTGTGTGTGTGGGGGTATATCCCCCTTTCTAAGAGCAGAGAGAACCATAGTTCTTCTCGTGGGGAATTTATCTGGTCTCCCCCATTGGCTTGTTCCGCCACTTATCTGTCCACACGGACTTGTGGGTATCGGTGTTATACTGTGAGCTGCACCCCAGTGTTCACTCTTTGCTCATATTGTTACGCCTTTGGCTGCTGGGAATCTTTCCTCGGTTTCTGGGTCCCTTTGACATAGCCCCTCACTTCTGTGGGTGTAGCTTCCTCAAATTCTGAGTCTCCGGGTTCGTCCTGCCTGTTTCCCACCCCAGTCCGAGAACCAGCCTTTTCTCCAAGGAGCCCTGGCCCTTCGACGGGGTGCCGTTAGACCCCAAGCTCTGCACAGTCTGCTTGGTGCTATTGGGGTGTCACGGCTCCTGGACCCCCTGAGCTGGCAAAGCGAGGAGACGTGTGTGCTGCCTGTGCATATACACATGTCTGCACGTATTTCCAAAGGCGACCACCGCGTCTCCCCTCGGGCAGATGTGAGTCCGTGCCGATGTCTCGGCTCCGACCGGTCAGCATGGGGGTCATTCCGGGGAAACGTAAAGCCCCAGGTTCTCCTCTAGAGCTGACCAATCCGGATGCTACTGACCTTACGTCGTTTGAAAGGCAGTCCCTTCACTGGGTATTTCTCTTGGTCTAACGTTGACATCAATATCAGAATTAGGAAAATGTCATAAGTGCAAGTTTTACGGTTTCACCCTTCAGTCTGGGTAAGTATTCGTCTAGTGAGACTTGGTTTCCTGCCCACAGCCCTGCCCGCTCCGGTGGCGTGGGTGTGACCGAGGAGGGCTAGAGCGTCCCACACGGTGTGACGCTGGGGGCTGTCCCTTCGGCGCCGCGTCCCTGACCGAACACAGGGCTCGGGCAACGCTGTGCCGCCCACCCTGGCGGCTTCGCCTCACTGACGTGCTTGTCTTCTCTTTCTCGTTGTCCCGCGTGTCTGCGGGCTGCAGGCTCCAGGTCCGCCGCTGCCTCGGAGATGACCCCGGTCCCCAGGATGGCCCTGGCGCTGCTCCTGCTGCTGCCCGGCTGGACCCCGGCGGGGGCTCAGGTTAACCCAGGTAACCGGCGGGCAGGCCCGCGGGCTCCTCCCGGGAAGGGCTGCGGGGTCCCAGCGGGAACGGAAACGAACCTCCTGTCCCCGGGACAGAGTGGACACGGGGAAGGGGCGTCTGATCCCACTTGGGGTGGAGCAGGAGGAAACTTGTTAAAAAGGGGAGGTGCTTCTGAACCCTCCGAGAACAGGAGGTGCCTTGGGGCCCCGCAGGCTGATTGTCCAGGTGTCGTTGGCTGGCCCAGGCCTGTGTTTACTTGTGGTACATTTGGGGACCCTGGTCTGGTGGGATCTCCAGGCCCTTCTCCCACAGGGTGCAGCTGTGCTCAAGAATGAACATGTTAGGAGGCGTCTTTTAGTTCCCCCATATTTTTTATTACATCTATTCGTAACTGTACATTGACAGTGCCCCTGCCGGCATCAGTGATGCCGCCTGACCGACCGGGGCAAAGGTGGTGAGTCTGGGGCGTGGACGGATGTTCCCTGCGCACCCACAGACCTGGGTGGCCCCGCAAGGACGGCCTTGGCTCCGATATTGGGGTGCTGGGCTGTGCTCCCCTGCAGCAGACCAGCGTGAGTGTGATTCGGTGGACACTGCTCAGAGCCAGAGCAGAACCGGCAGCATGGTCCAGGCAATGCTCGCGTCCGGTTCTGTTCGCTGACATCTCTGTGGCCCGGCCCAGAGCCGGAGCAGAGCCGTGAGGGGTGGGGGCTGCTTCTTCTCTGCACCGCAAATGTAAACGCAGAGAAGTACACACAGCATGCGGGTCCGTCTGATGCGTCGGTCACACTGAGCCTGGGTCTATGTGGCACCCCGATGGGGAGACAACGCCCCCACCCCGCCCTCACCCGCCACAACTGTGTCCGTCGCTCTCTGAAGGCGCGGAGGGTTCTGCGGCTCTGTCCCCTCTCTCTGCGGACGCTGTGATGTGGAAACACTCCGGGTGCCTGGCTGCCTGTGTCCGACGTGTTTGCGATGCAGCTGGTGACCGTCCTCGCTGTGTGAGGGCTCCAAGTGTGTCATCTGTCCAGTCCACTCTGGCTGGGTCTGGGTCGTTTCCACTCCGGGCCCATTTTAAGTGAAGCGCCCGTGCAGGACTTCGGGAAGGTGCACCTGGTTCTTCTGGGCACGGACCTGGCAGGGGGACTTCTGGGCTGTGTTACCCATGACGGTTCCCTGTGTGCTGCCTCGGAGCTTCCCAGGGGCTGTGCCCAGCTGCCCGCCCAGGCCGCGTGAAGGCCGCTGCCCGTCTGCCCTGGGACCCCGCGGGCACCTCTGTCTTCTTTTTATTGATGTATTGGGGTGACTGGCTAATGAAATTACGTAAGTTCCACGGCACGTCGTCTGTGCGTGGTGGTGTGGGTCACCACCCCAGTCAGGTCTCCGTCCATCACCTTGGTGCCCCGCGCCCTCCTTCCCACGGCGGGGAGGCCTTTGTGCAAACACTCGCCGTTCCCGCACTCGGCTCCCACCCAGGATGGGGCCTCCGACCTCGCACCAGCCGCTGTGGCATCGTCCCTGCTCTGGTCGCCGGGAGTCCCCGAGTGCACAGGGCGGGCGCTGCTGCTGGGCACACTCTGCGGAGTCGGCTCAGCATGAAAAGGGCCCAAGGAGAGCGCAGCCCCTGCCTCAGAGGGCCCGGAGCGGGAGCCGGAGTCTGAAGACAGCAGCATGATCTTCAGAACACGTCCCTGCTTCTAAGGAAGACTCTTCCTGCCGGAAAGAGGGAAATAAATACCAGTCTCGATGGGAACAATCTGTACGGGAACACAAAACGTGTGTAGGAGCGTGAGAGTGCATGCATGTGTGGGCGTGTTTCTCTGTGTGCATATGTGTGCACGTGTGGGTGTGTGCACACATACAGGTATGTGTACGTGGCATGCACATGTGTGTGTATATCTGTGCGCGCGTGGGTGTGCATGCATGTAGGTATGTGCACATGCGTGTGTAGGCATGTGGGAGGGCATGCATGTGTGGGGTGTGTATCTCTGTGTGCATGTGTGTGCATGTGTGGGTGTGAGCCTGCATGTAGGGGTGTGTGTGTGTGTGTGTGTGTGGACTTGCTGTGGCCTGAGCTGGCCCAGGAGGGGGACCTCCCTGGTGGAATTTCTCCGAAGTGAGTCTTGCTCCGTGCTGCTCCGTCGGCTGTCTCTTGCTTGTGTGTTTGTTGGTCGCGTCTAGCCTGCGGGTGGCCTCTGGTACCCTTCCTGCCAGTAAAAGGACCTCTCTCTCGGGACAGTGGAAACTCATCCGACCCTTCAGCACCCTTGGTCGTGCCAAATAGAGAACAAGAGAGCAGGAAGTTTGAGGAGGATGCCAACCAGCCCTCATCTGCCCCCGGAGCCGTCTGAAGCGTGTCAGCAGATTCGACTTCACAACGACCGTATGAGGCCGGGCGGATATTATTCCAAGTCCACGCAGGAGGAGCAACTCCAGGTAGCTCCCTCGAGGTTATGGACGGAGCCAAGTGGCAGAGCTGGGCTGCGCCCCTGGCCGGCGCACCCCTGACCCGTGTGCTCGTGGCCTCCCACAGCGCTGGCCCGAACCTCCCGTGGCCCCCAGCCAGCCTGGGGCGCCAGTGTCTCGAGACTGAAGGTGTGAGAATGAGCTAGAGATGAAGGAATTTGCCGGCTCAGGCGAAGAGAAAAGTGAGCATCTGAGCTGGAAAAAAATGCCGCCGAGGGGCACTCAGAAAACACAAGTGTGGGTGGTTATCAGGGAGGTCACCCGGCAAAGGCGAGCGTAGGGTGGCCCCCGAAACAGGCCCATCATCATGGGGTCCTCAGCAGGTGAGAGGGGCTTTCCGGTCAACGGCTTTGTCTTCACCTGAGACTAAAAAAAAAGAAAATGCTACACACGTCCTTCCTCCCAGGACGCGGGCTTCATTATTTTTTTATTGTATCTATTTTCTAATTGTTTAAATAAATACACACCCTTCAGCCATTTCTCCCATCCCCCACTGTTCTCCGTTCCCACGAGCTCAGTTTGGTTTTGGGTTTTTGAATTTTCACATTGCACACGTAAGAGGGATCACGCGGTATTTGTTTCTCTGACTCACTTCTCTTAGCCCAGTGCCCCCCGGCCCATCCCTGCTGTCACCCACTTCGGACGCCATCCTCCTCACGGCCGCGGAGGTTCCACCGTGTAGACACAGCACAGCCGTTACCCCGTCCTCACCCGCCGGGCGCGGAGGGTGTTCCTGGCTGCTGTAAATGCTGCCTTGGCTCTGGAGGCTGCGCGGGGCAGTACGAATAAACTGAGCTGATGCTTCCGCTCCGTGAGCATGGACCCTCTTTCCAGTTACGCATCTTCTTTAACCTTTCGTCCACGTTTCGTAGCTCTCAGTCTACGGGTCTTTTACCTCCTTGGTTACACGTATTCCCAGGTATTTTCATTCTTTTTGAGAGCATTGTGAGTGGGATTGTTTCTTTCTTTCTCTTTCTGATAGTTGTTATCAGTGCATAGAAATGCAACAGTGTCTGTGTGTAGCTCTTGCCTCCCGGGATGGAACACGGGTTTCCTTTGTCTCGCGTCAGCAAGTCGGTTCAGGACGTGCTGAGACCCACAGGCAATGAGCCTCCCTCCGCCCTCCTAACCCCACACAGGGCCGAGCGTAGTCCTGACAGTGGGTTCTTCTGGGGAGAACAGTCCGACTGTTGACTGAGCTCCTGGTCTGACCAGCAGGCCTCGGAAGAGCACGGATGTGGCAAGATGGGTCTCCCAGAACTAAAAGATATTTTTAATTGATTTTAGACAGAGACAGGCTGCCTCCGGGTGGGGGTGGGGGGAGTAGGTCTCCTTTGGATGCTCTGGACTTGCCCAGGGACCCTCTGCCTGTGTGGAGCCTGCAGTCCCCTCCCCCGCCCCATGCCCCTGCCCCCCAGTTGCAAACGGCTGAGCGACGGCCCCTCCCAGCGTCTCCGTCTCGGCACTGAGCTGCTCTGCAGTCAGGGCCTCAGCCAGGCCAGAGCGCCTCCAGACGCCGTTTGTGCATCATATCTGGGTCTTCGGCTGCTTCTTGGGGCGCTGGTCCCTGCCGCTTCTCTTCCACCCAAACCCGGAGTAACCCCTTAACACATTCCTTGTGGCCACTGTGATTCATGCTGATCATGTTTTACCTCTGAGCTGCTGCTGGGACGCTCAGGGCCCAATCGGAGGCAAAGCACCTGGAACCAAATGGAGTGTCTTTGGAATATTAACCTGAAATTGTCTTATAGTCTCTATTTCCTTCCCCTGTAGCCCATCTTTCTTTCCTTCCTTGTTTCTTCTACACAACGTTGGGGGTCAACTCCAATCTTTGTTAAGAATGTGTCAGGCCCTGGCTCAGCAGTTAGAGCGTCGGCCTGCGGGCCAGAGAGACCCCGGTTCGGTTCCCGCTAAGGGCACGCACCTCGGTTGCAGTTTGTCCCCGGCCCCAGTTGGGTCGTGCGGGTGGCAGCCACTCGATGTGTCCCTTTCACATCGATGTTTTTCTCCCTCTCTTCCTCCCTCTCTCCCTCCCACTCTATCTGAACAAAAAATGGAAAAATGTCCTCAGGTGAGGATAAAAAAAAAAAAAAGAATGTGTCAGAGGAAACACAACTAAGACAAGTGATCCCCAGCCGTCATCAAACGCCATGTCTCTAAGGAGCTGACGCTCACTCAGTTCCTACAGCCTGTACGCAAGCTGTGTTATCATCACCATTGACCCCAGGGCCCAGGCTCTGCAAACTTCCCGAGACCTGACTGCTTGAGAACGAGAGAGAGCCAGGAGCTGCCCCTCGTCCCGGCCGCGCCACCTACTGGGGGGCACTGCCAGACCTCCGCCACCCTGTGGTCCCACCGAGGACAGCGGTCGGAGAGGGTGAGCCACTGGGCTCTGGGGCCCATCGTGGACGAGGCAGAATCAAGCGCTACGCGTAGCGGATCCCAGGCCACGGCCCAGTCGCGGTGAGCTCGGACCTGCACGGGGCCTTGGCGGCCCTCCTCCCTGGAGGACAGACTGGCTGTCCGCTGGGGACCACCGGACTGCACTCACCGAGGAGAGCGCATGGTGTCCGACCCCACCTCAGGACTGGAGGCCAGGACAGCAGGGGCCCCGCGGAGCGCAGCGGCCGAGTCCTGGAAGGTGTGGTCTCCAGGGAAACCACAGTCCCAAGGGCAGCTCCCGAGGGGATTCTCGACGCGGGCAAGAGAGGTCTTTGCAGAACAGCCTCCTTGCACAGACAGCAAACCAAGCAATCGTCCTTGGCGCCGAGGAGAACCCCAGGGGACCCCACTGTGCAGGTCCTTACCTGATACTTACCTGGCGTAGCCTGCACAGCGGATCTTGTGGGGAGCAGGGAACCATGAATCTGCTTCCTTAACTGGGTCACCCTGATCTCTCTGGATTTGGAGGCCCTGGGGTTGAAGAAACAGGAAGGAAGGATCAGGAGGCCTGTTCCATGAGCCAGTTGAGCACCCTGGAGTCAGCCAGCCCACCTCTCTGAGCCACAGAGAGTCCATATTTAACACAGGCCATTGTAGGGGCTGGCGTCCCTGCAGTGTTACGACTGCAGACCAGAGACGGCCGTGCCACCCCCCACCCCATCCCGGTCACTCTTGTCCTCCCTGTGCCCGGAGCGGCCAGCTGTCAGGCCTCGAGCCTGCGTGTGCCGTGTGTTTTCCTGGACGCTGCACACAGGACTCTCCTTGACGGAAGCTGTGGGCTGCAGCTGGCAGCCAGAGGCCAGCAGCACGGACAAGCAGCCCGTTGAAGCTGTCCCCCTTGGCAGCATCGGCTGCTGTGGCTCTTGGGCAGCTGCTCCTCCCCGCCCGCCTGCCAGGGCCCCTGGACGCAGGGTGCGGGTGGAGGGCGCTCCCCCCCCTCGCCGGGCCATGGCGCTGGTAGTTTTCCGCTCTGGGAGACGGGAAGAGGGGGCGGCTTCTCCAGCAGCAGAAGCAGCGGGGAACCACCCGCACAGCCACCCGCAGGACCGGGGACACCACTTGCCGCGGGCCCAGGCCCTCGCTGTCCCACCTGTCACAGACAGACCTGTGGGCGTGGGGGTGGCAGGGGGCCTGGCGCTGAGGGCCTGGGCACACTTGGCTTCTCTGCACCTCTGCTCTGGGCTGGGACCCTCCCACAGAGGAGCTGACTGAGAACAGGTGTGCTCGGCAGGGAGCCACAGAGGAGGCTGCCCTGGGCCGGGGCTCGTCCTGGTCCCAGTGGCCCCTGGGATGAAAGACCATCCAGCGTCAGCTTGTCGCTTCCCTGTGCCCACAGGACCCCGACTGGCCAGGAGCAGGTTGCTGGGCCTTTGTGGTGACTCTCAGAGTCTGCTGGCCGTTGACCCTCTCTGACCTGCTTTCCAAGGTTGTGTTGGCCCTTCTGGCATCTCTGCCCCGCCCCGGAATCATTTTATTTATCTGTGCAAGAGCACCCCATCTCAGAGTGTGACTTATCTGTGCAAGAGCACCCCATCTCAGAGTGTGACTTATCTGTGCAAGAGCACCCCATCTCCGAGTGTGACTTATCTGAGCAAGAGCACCCCATCTCCGAGTGTGACTTATCTGTGCAAGAGCACCCCATCTCCGAGTGTGACTTATCTGTGCAAGAGCACCCCATCTCAGAGTGTGACTTATCTGTGCAAGAGCACCCCATCTCAGAGTGTGACTTATCTGTGCAAGAGCACCCCATCTCCGAGTGTGACTTATCTGTGCAAGAGCACCCCATCTCAGAGTGTGACTTATCTGTGCAAGAGCACCCCATCTCAGAGTGTGACTTATCTGCGCAAGAGCACCCCATCTCAGAGTGTGACTTATCTGCGCAAGAGCACCCCATCTCAGAGTGTGACTTATCTGCGCAAGAGCACCCCATCTCCGAGTGTGACTTATCTGTGCAAGAGCACCCCATCTCCGAGTGTGACTTATCTGTGCAAGAGCACCCCATCTCCGAGTGTGACTTATCTGTGCAAGAGCACCCCATCTCCGAGTGTGACTTATCTGTGCAAGAGCACCCATCTCAGAGTGTGACTTATCTGTGCAAGAGCACCCCATCTCCGAGTGTGACTGGGTGGAGGGACATCTCAACACGCCGCGTCCTTCCTGCACCCGCACCTGCCTTCGCCCTGATGTCGCTCTTGAATTTCTCTCAGCCTCGTGGGCTGGTCGTCCACACTTTCTGTCCCTCGGTCTGTCTTCAAGTGTCTTCCGTCTCTCCCGGGAAGGACGACCCCCGGGTTTCTCCTTCAGGCCTGTGGCTGCTCCGCAGCTTGTGTGCCCAATGCCCAGTGGGTGGTCGCTTTTGGCCCCTCGAAGAGACACAGATAACAGAACGTCGCCTTCTCTGTTTCCCGTGTGATTACCGTCCGGGGTGGGGAATCCGCCGTCATCCCGTCGCGGCTCCGGTGACCACAGGGCGTCCCTGGCGCCTGGTGCCAGCAGCTGTACCTGACAGGTGGTCTCTTCACGTTGCAGTTCAGGTCACGGAGCTTTTAGGGTTTAGACTTCGTCCAGCTGGGAAACATTTCCACCACATTGTATTCCGGTAACTGTCTGTCCCCTCCCCTCCGAGGGGTCCACAGACACCAGGGGGCGTGGAACTTTCCACATCTTACTGATATTCCATTTTTGATTGATTGATCGATTGGTGTTCTGTCTGGTTCCATTTTGGATAGTTTCTATTGATCTTTACAAGCTCACAATCTTTTCTTCAGCGTGTGCTCTGCCTTTGATCCCATCCAGTGTGTGTTTTTATTTTTTAAATCCTCACCTGAAGATGTTTGTCCATTGATTTTTTTGAGATAGAGTGGGAGGGAGGAAAGGAGAGAGAGAGACTTTGATGTGAGACACGTCGGCCGGTTGCCTCCTCATGACCTCGACCGGAGCGTGGGATCCAACCCGCAACTAAGGCACGTGCCCTGGACATGGAATCCAACCCGAGACTCTGGTCTGACGGCCGGCGCTCTAACCACTGAGAGGCCCGGCCAGGGCCGCCCAGTGTTTCTATCTCACACATCAGGTGTCGCCTCCAGAAGCCGAGTCCCGCAGCCCCTGCGCCGTCCCCACTCTCCTTACCTGAACACACGCAACGCAGCTTCACTCACCGGCCTGCCTTCCGGGTCTCACTTCCGCGTTAGCGCCGAACCGGCTGCAGGCGGTTGATTTTTCTTCTCGTTAAAGGTTCTATTTCCCTGCTTCTTTACATGACTGCTTTTTTTTTAATTGCATGGGACATGTTTATACTGAAAATGCATTTTAAAAAAGAGTCTGAAAGGTCAGTGTAGCTGGGAGCCCTGTGTTTTATCTGGCCAGCCGTGTCCCGAGAGCTCGGGTCCCCTGGCCCTCAGCTCAGGGGCCCTCCAGCCTGCCCGTGGTCTCACGCTGAGCAGTGGGCATGTCTCTGCAGGGAGCTGGTACCAGCGTGGGGCTGCTCCCTGTGTCTCCTGTCTCTCAGGGGTCGCTGCCCTTGGGGTCTGTCTTTTGTTATATGGAAACCCAGCTTTCTGCACACTTCACCTGCTTCCTTTCGGGTTGTTTGTTTCACCCAGGAGTGGACCTGGCCTCCACTCCTCCCCGCGGGGGAAGGAGGGTCCATCTCTGCTTGGCCAGAGGCCCAGACCCGAGCGGGGACCACAGCTGTGTGCTCAGCACCTTCCCGGGACGGTCTGTGGGTTGCGCAGATCCATGAAGTCAGCTTCCTAGAGGGGAGAAGGCCCTGGATCACCGGGTCCCGGGTCACGAGACTGCTCACGGCTGCGGGAAACCACACACCAGCCCGTAAAGGGGTGGGGACGAGCTTTTCCCCACGGAGGGGACAAAGCTGGTGTCACAGGACTCCTCGCCGTCGCACCGATCGTTGGCCGAGGGGCAGTGCTCGGACGGCCGGATGGTGATGAGTCTGGGGGCAGAGCCAGGGAGGAGAGCAGAGAGTCACGGTGACCCCAGCAGAGTCACAGAGTCTTCGGAAGACTCGACTCTCTCTTTCCATGTCCAGTAACTGCCTGCATCCTTCCCAGGGGCTCTGGGAATAAAAACAGATTTCCTGTCTGATCTCTCCTGTCCAGCCATATGCCGATACCCCCTGGGCATGTCCGGAGGCCACATCCCAGATGAGGACATCACGGCGTCCAGCCAGTGGTCCGAGTCCACAGCTGCTAGATACGGAAGGTGAGGGCGGGTCCCCAGGCGGATGTCCTGGACGGGGGCTGGTGGGACAGGACAGAGCTCAGGGCGCGGCCGCAGGTGCGGGTCTGGCACCTCCTGACCACAGAGGCCCCGAGCCGCGCCCAGCGGAGGCTCCCTTACCCGCAGGGACCTTCGGCGGTGGCGGGCTAGGCGCTAGATGAGGGAGCTGCAGGTTCCGTGGGTCGCAGGTTCAAGACCCAGTCTTCCTCTTGGCCCTGCTCTGCGAACACCACAGTGCACAGCACGGGGCTCAGACAGACAGAGGCCCCAGCGAGCCCTCCCGTCTCCCAAGGACTCCTCCTCGGAGGCGGTCTCGTCGGCAGGGTGGGCGAGTCCCTGGGCTCTGGAAGAGGGGTCCTCTAAGAAGGAAACTCCTTTCATCCTAAGTGAAACAAGCCAAACAGAGAAAGACAAGTTTCATATGATCTCACTTATTTGTGGAATATAATGAACATAACAGTCTGAGGAATGGAGTAGTCCCAGAGATGTGGAAGTGGGGTACAGACTGACAATCCCCAGAAGAGGGGGGTGGTGGGGGAGAGATAAACCACAGAACTTATATGCATGTGTGCATGGACAGTGGACATGGACAACAAACTGGGGACAGGGCAGGGAGGGAGGGGGAGGGGGGAATCAGTGGGGGAAAAAGGAGAAACATCTGTAACAAAAATTAATTTAAAAAATAAATAAATAAATAAAAACATTTAAAAAAAAAGTTGAGCAGAACAGAGATGTTGTAGTTATATAACAACGAGTCTACTGCTGAACTCCTCCTCAGGATTCTTCTAAGAGTTTATTGAACAAGTTCTTAATCAAAAACAAAAGGAAGAATTTAACCCCATCTTTACAGTCAGAATCCAATTAATATTGACTTGCTAAGGATGTCTAGAGTGAATATCTGGTAACCCTGATCCTAATAAGAACTGTAAAGAGAATTCTATTATAAAAAATAAGAATGAAAATAGGGAAAAGATACATTGTGCAACAGATGGACAAACAACAGCCAATCTCTAGTTTACCCACTGCTTTAACTATGACTGTAAAATGCCTAAAAACAAAACAACTGAAATAAAATTCATTTATGAGCACTGAGAAGAAAGAAGGAAACTCCTCTGTCCGAGGCCAGTCTGCTTGCTAGGGCCTGACCCTCCTCCCGCGGCGGATTCTTCGGGTAATAGTGTGGTTTCTGTTAAACTGGCACCACCCCTAAGAAAGGCCACCCCGCAAGTTGTCTGTGTCAGGGCGAGGGGTGCGGGGGCTGGAACCACGGGCAGGCACGTCTGTGGGCACAGGCACCCACCGGGGGAGAGGGACTGCGGTCAGAGGTCCCCAGAGTCCCTGACACTGAGTTTACAATCCCGCCCTGGGCAGCACAGCCTGGAGGTGATGACAGATTATTTCGGGTTCCCCTGTTCCCCGACATCCTGTGAGCCCACTCCCACAGCCAGCCTCCCGTCCTGCCGGCCACACAGCCCACACTGGAGAGCGCCGAGACTGTGGGGAGGGCGGCACGGTGGCCCCGGGGGGCGGGTTTGTCAGCGTGGCGCCCGGGAGAGGGCCCAGCGCACAGGGGCCCGGTGGGAGCCATCAGACCGCTGGGGAGAACCCAAGAGCCGTTGGACTGGACTCCCTGCTGCCCTCTCTCAGGACGGGGCTGAGCACTGGGAGATAAAGCTGAGGTTTCAGGGATCCCTGTCTCCCCCAAACCCTGGTGTCTCCCCCAAACCCTGCGCCTCAGGCTGGACTCGGAAGAAGGGGACGGAGCCTGGTGTCCTGAGATCCCGGTGGAGCCGGGGGACCTGAAGGAGTTCCTGCAGATTGACCTGCACACCCTGCACTTCATCACCCTGGTGGGGACCCAGGGCCGCCACGCCGGGGGCCATGGCATCGAGTTCGCCCCCATGTACAAGATCAACTACAGCAGGGACGGGACTCGCTGGATCTCCTGGCGGAACCGGCACGGGAAACAGGTAGGAAGCGGGACAGGGCCCCTGGGGCCTCGGGCAGACCCGGAAGGACACAGGCTGACTGTGCCCGTGCGCCGCCGCAGAGCCGGTGGGAGGGTGGGGTCGGAGTGGAGCTGAGCGAAAGCTTCTGCTCCGTGAACGACAAAGGGTGATGCCTGGGGTGAGGGGCCCCAGGACGTCACAGCCGCGCCCTCTCCCCGCCCTCCCCGCAGGTGCTGGATGGGAGCAGCAACCCCTACGACATTTTTCTGAAGGACCTGGAGCCGCCCATCGTGGCCAGATTCGTGCGCTTCGTCCCCGTCACCGACCACGCCATGAACGTGTGCATGCGGGTGGAGCTGTACGGCTGCGTCTGGCTGGGTAGGTCTCCCGAGAGCTTGTCGCCCGCCGCCCGGGGAGGCGGTCCCAGGATGCAGGTCCCCTGCCTGGAGGAGAGAAGGGAGCAGGGTTCACCCAGCCAGGTTACGTGGCCCCTCCTCGGCCGCTCCTGCGCCCAGGGTGGGTCCGGGTGCGTCCGTGATGCAGTGGCCTCGGTGGCTCCCCGGGCTGGCGGGCTCCCCTCCCCTGGCACTGACCCACCTGTGTTTCCCTTGGCAGACGGCTTGGTGTCCTACAACGCTCCGGCCGGACAGCAGCTGGTGCTGCCTGGAGGCGCCGTCATTTACCTGAACGATTCTGTCTACGATGGAGCTGTTGGGTACAGGTACATTCGGGCGGGGGACTCGGGTGTCAGAATGGGAGAGAATCCGATTCTGTCCTGGCTTGGGATCAGTGATCAATCAGTGGCCCAGAGCAGTGTTCACTTAGACCCTGGTGTGATCCATGCTTCTTACTCCGAGGGTCTCATTGTCTACGAATTTGATTAAAATGAAATATAAATGGGTGTTTAAAGTTGGCAGGTTTTGATTCTTCAACTACAGCTTACTTTCCGTATTGTGTGTGTGGGTGTCGGTGTGCAGCTAGTCATTAGACATTGTGTGACTGACGGGTGGCCCCTCAGAAGTCCAGCACCACCTGGCACCACGTGGTTTTGCGGTGTCACTGATGTTCCCTGCGCTGGGCTTTCCCCCACCGCGCTCGTCACAGCCGGTTCGCACTTCTCACTGCCTTCGCCTCTCCCACAGGCTGGGTGAGCGGTTTAGTTTGGAGTCTGATGGGTCGATGGAGGTGTGGGGTCCAAAGGCTGGCTTGTTGGAACAAGTTCACTGAGCAGTGACAGTCTCCAAGCAGCTCAGGGACCCGTAGGTGATGAGGGGCAGGGCTGCTGTCCACTCGAGTGCTCTCGCTCATCTGTCCACTCACTCATCCACTCATCCATTCATCCATCCACTCACTCAGTCATCCACTCACTCATCCACTCACTCATCCATCTACTCACTCAGTCATCCACTCACTCATCCATCCACTCCTTCATCCATCCACTCACTCATCCACTCACTCATCCATCCACTCACTCAGTCATCCACTCACTCATCCATCCACTCATCCATCCACTCACTCATCCATCCACTCACTCATCCATCCACTCACTCATCCATCCACTCACTCATCCACTCACTCATCCATCCACTCACTCATCCATCCACTCACTCATCCACTCACTCATCCATCCACTCACTCAGTCATCCACTCACTCATCCATCCACTCATCCATCCACTCACTCATCCATCCACTCACTCATCCATCCACTCACTCATCCATCCACTCACTCATCCATCCACTCACTCATCCATCCACTCACTCATCCATCCACTCACTCATCCATCCACTCACTCATCCATCCACTCACTCATCCATCCACTCACTCATCCATCCACTCACTCATCCATCTACTCACTCAGTCATCCACTCACTCATCCATCCACTCACTCATCCATCCACTCACTCATCCACTCATTCATCCATCCGCTCACTCACCCATCCACTCACCCATCCACTCACTCACTCACTCACGGATTCATTAATCAAATGTGTTTGGTAATACTGAGTCAGTATAAACAGGCTTGGTGTATTCAGTATACGAATAGGTCAGGATACAACAGCGTAGAGAAAGCTTTTCATAGAAAATGATGAAGTGTTGTGTCAAAGTTTGGCTACTGAAGTGGCAATCAAAGTCAAATATTTTGCGAAATCCGTCTATGTATACGAAACTTGATTCTGCACAGATGCAGGACGAATGATCAATGCCACAAACTCCATTGAACCTTTCATAATCCTTCACCCTCCACGATAACCCACTTTTCAAAACCCAGAGCAGACGCGGGAGGGGGCTCCTCTGTGAGCCTAGATTCCCCATGCTCTGCGCCTTCCTTCTGCCCACGGCCGACAGCATGACGGAAGGGCTGGGCCAGCTGACCGATGGGGTGTCCGGCCTGGACGACTTCACGCAGACCCACGAGTACCACATGTGGCCCGGCTATGACTATGTGGGCTGGAGGAACGAGAGTGCCGCCAATGGCTACGTCGAGATCGTGTTTGAGTTTGACCGGATCCGGAATTTCACTGCCATGAAGGTCAGTGGGGCCGGCATCATGGCGCGGAGGCTGCTGGGCCGGCCCACTCCTGCCGGGCCACGTGCGTGCGGTCGCTTCACCTGTCTGGCCATTTCCTCATGGTGAACGAGGCGGTCGGACCAGGCCACTGCCCCTCAGTGTCCTATGGTTCCAACCCAGAGCCGATAGGTCCATGAGGCCCGTCTGGTCTCCAGGGCCCACCATGCTTCTAGTCCCATGAAAATGATTTACCTCCTTTAAATATCAGAAGGAAAAAATTAACTTTAGGGCGAAGAATTATTCTCATCTTTTAACAACATAGTTGTGAAATATAATTTCAATATATTTTTAAGGAGGGAGGGGCCCACAGTGGACCACATGCCAAGGGCTGTGGGGTGATTACGCAGCCTGTCCGTATCCTGGGGGTTAACCAACTGTCCTTGCTGGTGAGGGGGCTCCTGGCAGCACCGATCTCCACGGAGAGGAAGGGCTTGGTGTCTTGGACCACCTCCCACCGCAGGGGGCCCCCTCCAGCCCACAGCACCGATGAGTCATGCTAGAAGATCCCATAGTCTCCTGTCCCCACACTTCATACCCACTGTCACTGATCTGCATGTGTGGGTTCCCTTGCTGGACCTCAGCCCCTCCAGGCAGTGGACCCTGCAGTCTGACTGTCCCTGGCCCTAGTCCGCCAGCTCCACAGACCTTTGTGGATGACCAAGTTCTAACACCCGTACAGCTCACTGGAGTAGTGCGCACCTTGCGTCTGCCCTCTGAGCAGAGAGGAGGCATGATGGCAGGGACGGGACCCTGGCCGACAGCACCCTCATCATGGTGCACAGAGCGGGCGCCAACAGGAGGAGTCTGGTGCCTCCTGCTGGGCCAGCACCAGGGTTCTCCCTTGGAGGGGACAGTGACTCTGCCCAGTCAGAGGAGTTGGCTACCCAAAGGGTGTGGGGAATACCCCAAGCTGCCACGGGGTCTCGAATGTCCATCACTGCATCCATTTGTGTGCATGCTGGTGTGTGGGCATGAGAAGTCACACCCGCTCCTCCCCCAGGTGCACTGCAACAACATGTTCGAGAAGGGCGTGAAGATCTTCAAGCAGGTGCAGTGTTTCTTCCGCGCAGAAGCCGGTGACTGGGAGCCCAACGCCGTGTCCTTCCCCCTGGTGCTGGACGACGTCAACCCCAGCGCCCGTTTTGTCACGGTGCCCCTGCAGCACCGCATGGCCAGTGCCCTCAAGTGCCAGTACCACTTCGCCGACACCTGGATGATGTTCAGCGAGATCACCTTCCAGTCAGGTAGGGGCTCAGCAGAGGGACCTGGTGCGCGTGCGGCGCCCGGCAGGTGGTTCTCCCTGGGGCGGGGGACTGCTCTTGGCGGTGCCTGTGGAAAGGCAGGGGACACCGGAGAGGACACGGCGCTTATTTGCTTGGTTCTCATCTATTTGTCCAAAAGATTCGTAAAATGAAGGACTGAAACGTGAGAGTATGTGTGTTAGAAACTGTCTGTGAATGAAGCCGGTTAGGGGAAGCCCACCCGGCCACCCGCAAAATAGTTCAGTGAAAATTTCTTTCTTTATTGATCTTAGAGCGAGAGGAAGAGCGAGGGAGAGAGAGAAACATCGATGAGAGAGAACACTGATTGGCCGCCTCCTGCACGCTCCCCACTGGGGATCACAACCCGGCATGTGCCCTGACCTCTTGGTGCAGGGTCGGCGCTCAGCCACTGAGCCACACCAGCCGGGCTAAATGAGCATTTCTAGAGCCACACAAAGGGAGGGGGCAGCGAGCCCATCTGTCCCTCTCTGGACCAACCGCCACGCCCACTGGTTCTGGTCTCACTTTGGCGGTAGGATTTCAGCAAATCCAAGACCCCGATCCCATTACTGAGAAGGGAGAGGCCCTCTAAGAACATAGCCCCATCTTGCACACAGAGTGCCCCCACATCTAACAACACCGACTAACAGATGCGGTGATCCCGTCCCGTCACCGCATGGCCGGTGCTCGGTCCCTGCTCGTGCAGCAAGGCCTTCGGCCGGTGGCTGGACCGCGCAGGCCTTCTTGGGGCGTTTCCTCCTTATGTCCCTGAACACCTCCTGTCATCAGAGTCAGTTTTATCAGTTCCTGCGTCTGGGTTGGCCGACGGCTCGGCCCTCAGACGGGGGTTGTGTCCAGGCTCATTCACTCCAGGGTCCGTATTGCTCGTGTAAGGGTCTTTCCTAGACGGTGCTCTGTGCTTTTGGGGCGGGAATGGCTGGTGGTTTTATCAGGGAACATTTTGCCCGATGAACCCATGAGACCTTTTACCCCATCCCCTGAAGGGATACGTTTTTAAAGGGGACAAGGAGTGGATTTACTTAGGTTTTAGTCTTTTGCTAGATTCTCTGCTGAAGGCTATTCATGAGTAACCCTGGGATTGTGTAAAACTTTCTCATGGGTCAGGAAGTCAGATTTAACCTCAGGAAGTGTGTTTTGTGCCTTATGTTGAACTCATCCTGGGCTGGGTGGCGGGCGTGGTCTCTGGTAGGTGAGAGGGGTCTCTGGGCTCAGGGGCTCCCCATGAACTTGAGCCTCCGTCATACCCCGCATTGGGGATGCTGAGCGGTGGTTGACCCTCTAGTTCCTCTGCATTTATCAGCCGCCCGGTGTCTTCTGACCAGAAGGACCCACAGGGGGCCCGTTGGAGGGCAGGGTGCAGGGGTCTTTCCCCTCTTCATCAGCTTTCAGAGTGAGGGGCTGAGGCCCTGGCAACCTTCAGTGACGTCTAAAGGGTTCTGTTTGCTTTTCGTTCTTGTTTTGTTTTGGTATCATTGTATACTCATTGCTTGTGTGTGTGTGTGTGTGTTAATTCTCACCTGAGGACATGTTTGTTTTTGTTTGTTTTCATTGATTTTAGAGAGAGAGGAAGGGGGAGTGAGAGAGAAAGAGGGAGAGAAAGAAACATTAATGTGAGAGGGAAACATCGATGGGTTGCCTCCTGTAGCACATGCCCGGCCTGGGAGAGAGCCCGCAGCCGAGGTACGTACGCTGACTGGGATTGAACCTGCAGCCTTCTGGGGCCGACACTCCATCCAATGGCCCCGGCCAGGGCCCCACTGCTTTTTGTAAATTAATGTGCTGAATCACAGACGGGCTCATTCTTTCAGATGCTTAGGTGCCTCCATCTGGGCCGAGCGCACCCCGTAAGCCGGCTCCGTGCTCTCAGGCTTCAGCCTCGCACGCCTGTGATAAGCATCTTGTCTTTAGAAGAAACAGGACGCCCCAAGCCCATTTGGAACACTGACTGCCCCTGAGGCGGGACCAGCCATCCCCGCCAGCGATCTGGGATCCCCCTGGGGGAGCGGTGTCCGGAGACCAGACGGGGTAACAGGGACGGTGCCAGGTCTGGAGAAGGGAGAGGCACTGAGGGTGTGGCACCATCTGGAGAAACCAGGCTTTTCCAGAGGCCGGCGAAGTGGTACCACGAACAAGTGGTCAGAAGAGGCCGTGGCCGTGGACTTGCAGTGGATGGCGGCCAAGGACTGAGCCTGCGTGGACTGCAGGAGACGGGGCGGCGGGAGACCCCACGGGAGGAGGAGAGACTGGTCTCAGGATGAACCACAGGCCCCGTGCTTCCCGACCTGACTTCTGACTGACGTACGCTTCATTAGGACGCGCTGCGACGGAGCCAGAGCACAGGCTTAGAGAGGGGTTTGTGCGTCTCTCGCCAAGGTTCTGTCTAGAGGAAGCCCGCTGATCGCTGCGCGTGACGTGGCACTGAGCGCGCATGTCCGAGAGCGTGTGCACGTGTGACCTGGGGACGACAGGCTCCTTCCTGCAGGGACGGCCCGCGGGTGCCTGGCACGCAGTACGGAGCTGACACAGCCTCGCTCGGTGTCAGTGTCCCCCGCTGTCACTTCTGTGTCCTGAGGATGCTCGGTCCTCCAGGCGCCAGGACCCTCCCTCCGTGCACGAGGCAGTGTGAGGGGAGGGTCCTGGGCGCGACCTGTCCCGTGGGATGAAGTGCGTGCTCTGTGCTCGACCCTCCATCAGACAGAGCGGAGGACTTGAGCGGCTCACGCCCGTCTGGCCAGTACTTGGGTCCAGTCTTAGCGGCCGCAGCCTCACAGGAGGGCACGCCGATACCATCCTCTATCTGCAAGGATGGGCCCACTTCCCAAATACAGGCGGGCTGGAGGCACGGTGACAGCCCTCTGTCCCACTCGAACTCCCTGCACGGAAGGAGCCTCCCAGCGGTGCCCCTCAGGCCAGGCCCCGGCCCCGCTGTGTCCTCTCCGCTTTGCTGACCTCAGGTCATCTGTCCTGCGGCTCTGTGAGGACAGGTGGTCGCAGCCTCCGCACCACCGGTTCTTAAACTTCCTCGTACCGTGGCACCCGGTAGACAAAAACCTAAAATTTTTACAAAGGAAAGGTCGCCCTTACTATAGCTGAGTGGTGATATTTCTGTTTACGATATGACATGATTCCGTGTTTTAAGAAGGCGGGTGATTTCAGACCTGCCTTCCGTGAAGCCGCCGCCCTCTGGTCTGTCCCTGACTCCTCTGTTTTTAGCAGATGCCGCCAGATACAACAACTCCGGGGCCCCGCCCACCTCGCCCGCAGCCCCCGCCACCTACGGTAGGTGGGAGGGGCCTCCCCAAGGGGAGGAGCCCTGGGGAGGAGGGCGGAGACGGGAGGCCTGGTACCTGCGTCTCTGCCACAGGGGGCCCCGGACCTGGGGGACAGACAGCTCACCCACCGGGAAGGCCCAAGCGCTCTCCCTGCAGGGTCACAGGCTTCTGGAGCGGTTCCAAGGGCTTCTTGAGAGTTAGGAGAGCCAGGAGCAGAAACAGGGACATTTCTCCCTGAGACCCACGCAGGGCCCTCCGTGGACGGGCGGGACTCTCTGAAACAAAGTGCCGGTCCTCTAACTGAGAAGCGGGTGCCTCCGTGCAGACCGCACTGGTCGCGGGGACCAGCCGCTGGGGAACGCGTGATCCTCTGTCTCCAGAGAGAACCCGAGGCCACCTTGTCGGGCCTCAGAGAGGGCAGAGCGAGGCCATTCACCTGGTTCTCACGCCCCGTGGCTAGGGGCCGCAGACCAGGCCGTGGTGAAAAGGAACCACATTTTGGGAAGGATGGAAAACCTGTCCATTGTCCAGTCTGTACATGAGGAGGAGGAGGAGGAGGAGGAGGAGGAGGTCACCGTCCCTGGGAGGGGGTCGTAGGGCCCAGGAGCCGAGTAGCGAGGCCGAGATAAGCAGGCAGTTCAGGTGGCCTCTGGCCGAGTTGTCCTGAAGGACCCGGTTCTGCCCGTCCCCGGCCCAGGCCCCCCTTCCCCTCACCCCACGGTGAGAGCACCCTCCCTCTGTCCCTGGCTGCAGACCCGATGCTGAAAGTCGACGACAGCAACACCCGGGTCCTGATTGGCTGCCTGGTGGCCATCATCTTCATCCTCCTGGCCGTCATCGCCACCATCCTCTGGAGACAGCTGTGGCGGAAAATGCTGGAGAAGGTGAGCGGGCCCGCTGCTGCCCCAGCAGCCAAGGGCAGGTGGTAGAGCAGGCAGCAAGCTGGGAGCTCGCCAGGGCCGCCAAGGCGCAGAGGAGGGAGAGGCCTGTCGCTGGAGGAGGCGGAACGCAGCGAGCCGCGGCCCTGCCCTCGTTTTCCGAGGGGAGGCTGGAACCTCCCAGAAAACGGCCACAGTGCTGAACCCCAGCTCAGGCATCTCCCCTGCAGAGGCAGACGCCCTGGGTGGGGAGGGGTGCAGGCGTGTGCCTTCTCTTAGCCTCACCCAAGGTACGTTTTATTGGTTTTAGAGAGAGAAGGGGGACAGAGAGAGAGGGAAACCTTGAGGTGAGAGAGAAGCATTGATTGGTTGCCTCTCGCATGCACCCCGACTGGGGATCGAACCCACAATCTAGGTATGTGCCCTGATCGGGAATCGAACCCGCGACCCTTCGGTGCACGGGACGACGCTCCAACCAACTGAGCCACCCGGCTGGGCGGTATGTGCATATTTTTAAAAATGAACAAGTAATTCTGATGGGCAAGCGATACCTAAAACCCTCACAGTACAGCTCCTTCTCTTCTTCGCTATTTGCTTGTTTGTTTTCGGGGTGTGTGTGTGTGTGTGTGACATCCACCATTCTATTCCCACTTCTTTGTGCACTTGAAGGTTGTGGGTGTCCACCCCTCCGGGTCCCTCCTCCGAGTCTCCCTCCAGGCCAGGTCATCTGAATACTTTCTATTACGTCTGTCCACACTTGACCGTTTGCTTTCACGTGTATTTCACTGGAACCCACTGAGCGACGGGCAGCGGGGCAGTGCTACCTCGACCGTCTTTCTCACGAGAACGCGCCGCGGCTCCATGCCAGGCGTCTAACCCCTGGCTTCCAGGCGCTTTGCAGCGACCTATCTTGAAATACGTTGACTTTTCTTCCAAAACATACACATGCTGCCAAGGAGGGGTGTCTATGGCGATCTCGGTTTCTTGGGCCAGATAACAGCCTCTGGACATCACAGCTAAGGGTCTGATGCTCTCGGGGTCTCTGAGAATTAAGCGTTTCCACCTTTGGCCGTGGAAATCATCCGTGGTCAGTGAGCTCACGTGGACATGGACTGTGCGAGGTCAAGGGAACCCTGGGATGGGAGACTTTGAACTGACTGTGAGGGAGGGGGTGGCGGACAGACAGCCTGACCGATGAGCTTGGAAGATGCCCTCGGAGACCAGTGCCCTTGGGGAGGAGACCAGGAGAGGGAGCCAGGCTCCGAGGGACAGGCCGGGACCTCCAGGTGTAGGCGCAAACGAGAGACGTGAGAAGGACCCAAGGCGCAGACTGTCCTTCCCTCTGGTCTGCTCCATGGTCAGTGTCTGAGATGATTAAGGTTCGTTTTAAGACCCTTTTAGGCAGGTGTATTCACAGACGGGGGTCTCCTTGCCTCGCCTTAGGACCTCGATCATCCGTCTAGAAAACACTTCACCTAGACCAAAGCTCTCAGTTCAGGAGTAGTGACCGGAGACCAAGAGGCGGCCCCCGCGGTGAGCTCAGCCAGGCGTCTGAGTCCAGGGGAGGTAGCACGAGGGGGCGGCCGCGATGTGCCGAGGGCCCCTCGAAGCTGCTATGGGCCCCGATGGGGTAGCCTGTGGGGGCTGGGCGGTTCCTGTCTTCATCTGAGGCACAGTCTTCCACGCTTCCGTGGGTCTTTCTCCTGAGACCTCGGGATGCATCCCTGGGCTGGGAGAGGAAGGTGGTGGACACTACAGGTGCAAGGGCGAGAACAGTGTTATTTACCCTGGTCCTTCGACCAGGTCCTTCCACCCTGTGCATCTGAGCAAGACTCCCACCGAGGCTGCGCAATGACGCGGTTCCTCCCCAGGGACGAAATCTCTCTCACCAACACCCGCAGTGTGAGGGGACGACCCACACAGTCCTACGTGCAGATTTTGAAGGAGCAGGCAGGTCCCTTAGACAGGGTGGCAATGAGTTTTCCTGTTCCTGTATTGGCTATAATTCGCCTGGGTATCCCCGGACCTCCAGGGCCTCCCTTGACCTCTCTGTAGCCATTTCGTTTCGGTTGTAAAAATGCAGAGGCCGTGCCCTGTTCGGTGTGGCTCGGTTGGTTGGGCATCTGTGCACCGAAAGGTCGCCGGTTCAGGGCATGTGCTTGGGTTTCAGGCTCCATGTCCTGTAGGGGGCGTGAGGAGCTGATCCATGTCTCTGTCTCTCTCCCTCTCCCTTCCTCTCTCTCTCTCTCAAAATTAATAAAAACATATATATATATTTTAAACGTGGGGCCAGAGGGACGAGGCGAACCGTGCCTCGCTGGGTTCTAACGCAGTGTTGAGTTAACGAGCGTGTACACCCAATCGAAACAGCCCCGGGGCAGCCGGCCGAGCCCACTGCCCACCCAGCATGGGAAACACCCAGACCGAGCTGTCTGGTTGATGCTGGTGGGTCTTGGCCTGTCGGGTGGACAGAGCTGCCCGCACTTGGGGGGACGCTGGCGGCTCGGCACTGGCTGGTGTCTCGCCTCAAAGAGGTCAGGGGCCAGTCTGTGTTTCCACAACGCGGCGCCTGTGGGCCCGTGTGGGGTGCGTGGAGTCGGAGAGCTGGAGGGGCCCCGTCTGTGTGGAGAGCTGGTTAAGAGGGGGTTGAAGGTCCCTCGGGCAGCAAGCCGCCTCCCTGCCCTCCCCGCAGGCTTCCCGGAGGATGCTCGATGACGAGATGACAGTCAGCCTGTCCCTGCCCAGCGACTCCAGCATGTTCAACAACAACCACTCCTCGTGTCCCAGCGAGCAGGAGTCCAACTCCACCTATGACCGCATCTTCCCCCTTCGCCCCGACTACCAGGAGCCCTCCAGACTGATTCGGAAACTCCCAGAGTTTGCTCCGGGGGAGGAGGAGCCAGGTGAGGCCGGGCGGGGAGGAGCCAGGGAGGAGCCTGGGGGTCTGTCCCCTGCTCGGGAAGAGGGGCCAGGTGAGGACGCAAGCAGAGAGCTGAGGGAGGAGCCTGGGCCGCAGGGCGAAGGTGCGCTCACCCAACCTGGTGTTAGCTGGAAAGTCCACTCTCCTTCTCCTGGCCTCTGCGGCCCCCCCTAATCTGAGCACCTCTCCTTTGCTCCTGCACAGAGCAATGTTTGCAGGGACCCCCCATCTCAGAAGTGGAAGCAAATGAACCCAAGGGGAGAACCCAAACAGTCCACCTCGTCCAACCTCCTCATTTTACAAAGGAGGAGAGTACCCCGATAAGGGACTTACCCAACACCAAACATCTCTAGGGGTAAGTTCAGGATGAGCGATCCCCTGGAGGAAAAACAAAAAAGATGCTAAGCACGCCCTGAAGCCCAGGTTCTGCGGCCAAAACCCCTGGACCTCACTCGAGTGGTTTCTCTTCCGGGGAACCTGTTGGACTCACAGCAGATTTTACTGTGAGAACAAGAATTTCTGGGCTTTGCTCAGAAGCACCCCTGGGTGAGGCAGTGACAGCTGACGCCCGTCCGGCGTGTTTTAAAACATCGCTGCTGGGTGACCTCAGGGGGGACACTGGGGTCACTGCTGAGACTCACAGCAGCCTTCCCGGAGGTCAGGGCCAGGACGCGGTGCTCAGGACAGGGGTGGACAGGCAGGCAGACCCGTGGGAGCGGGGCCCCAGGGGCCATTGGAGGAGGTGCGGACAGTGGAGACACCTGGCTCGGAATCGTACCGACAGCACAGACAGTGACACTGAGTTGTTTCCAGGCTGGAGTGATTTACCTAGTGTCTGACGTCTGCATCATCCCCCTCATATTTCATTGTAATTAATTTTTAAATGTAGACAATTTTTAGTTAAAAAATTTTTTTCTTTGTTGATTTTGGAGAGAGAGGAAGGGAGAGGGACAGAAAGAGAGAAACAGCGACGTGAGAGGGACACATCGATTGGCTGCCTCCCGCACGACCCTGACTAGGGCTGGGGACTGAACCTCAACCCAGGCACGTGCCCTTGGCCGAATCGAACCCGGGACTCACTGGTCCGCAGGAGCTGCTCCATCCGCGGAGCCGCACTGGCCGGGGACTGTGAGGTGGACGTGTCTCAGACCAGAGCACGTCAGTGTCATCGGGAAGCTGTTAGATGCTCAGACAGCCGTTCAGTCGGTGTCACAGCGGAAAAAATGCGCTATCGTGTCTCCCGCCTTTAACCCTCCTGCCCAAAGTGAGCACCTCCGGGCAGAGTTCCACGCAAGGCCGTCCGAGCAGGTGTGCGTGGCCCCGTGGGCTGAGGAAGGCCGGATGACAAAGGAGGCCACACTCTGACAGCCACGAGGTGGCTCTGGGGGAGCCCGGCAGGCAGGCCATGAGCAGGGGCCCCGGGGACGAGCCCTGTCTCCCAGGGTCCGTCCCCAGAGAGGTGCTCAGAGCCCCTGGAACAAGACCGCTGTCCTTGTCTTGCAGGCTGCAGCGGCCTCGTGAAGCCGGTCCAGCCCAGCGGGCCGGAGGGGGTGCCCCACTACGCAGAGGCTGACATTGTGAATCTCCAGGGGGTGACCGGGGGCAACACCTACTCCGTGCCCGCCCTCACCATGGACCTGCTCTCGGGGAAGGACGTGGCCGTGGACGAGTTCCCCAGGAAACTGCTAACTTTCAAGGAGAAGCTGGGAGAAGGCCAGTTTGGGGAGGTGAGTGACTGAGCGGGGCGTCCGGTCCTCGGCGCACAGGCAGGGCCGGGTACAAGTGGCCAGGAGAGCAGAGGTCCCTCCCCAGCGGACTCGCCTCAGATGCCTCCTCCACGGGCCTCCCCACCCCCGTCCCCCTCCTCCATGGGCCTCCCCCGGCTTCCCCCTCTCCTGGTCTCCCCCGTCCCCCGGCGGGCCTCCCCCCGCGTCCTCCTCAGAAAGACTGGCGTTGGGTCCACCTCGCCTTGGCCGAATTGTGCTGGGCTCCTGGGTCTTCTCCCTTCCGTGTGGGGTTTTCAAAGCAGGCAGGTCACCAGACTTTCCAGATCCTCCTGAAAACATCCCACATTTTCAAATGCTTTTACCATGGGCTACAGAGGGTGGGGCTCCTAAGATGTGATCATCTGTTTTGCTTTTTTAAAATCCCCACCCGAGGATATTTTCTCAGTTATTGTCAGACAGAGTGGGAGGGAGGGAGGGAGGGAGAGAGACTTACAGATGTGAGAGGGACACATCAACTGGTTGCCTCCCGCACGACCCCGACCAGGGCCAGGACTGAACTGCAACTGAGGTACATGCCCTTGACCCTCGACCCTCTGGTCTGTGGGCAGACGCTCTAACCGCTGAGCCAAACCGCCAGGGCAGAGCGATCATCTACAAACCGTGAGGATGCCCGCTGAGAGCCCGGTTGCCGTCCCAGTTTAGGGGAGTTTGTGTGCAGGGTCAGCAACCACCTCGCCTGTGGTCCCAGAATCAGCCGCTGGGTCCCCTCCTGCCCCAGAGGCAGGCCTGTCCGCTGGCCCCTCCCTGTCACATGGCCCCGAGCCTCCCGAGAACTCACGGCAGCGCCGGGCCTGGTTCACAGGACTGCGTGGGTGCTGCCCCGTGGTCTGTGTCCTCCCGTGGGTAGCGCGTGGGTGCTACCCCGTGGTCTGTGTCCTCCCGTGGGTAGCGCGTGGGTGCTGCCCCGTGGTCTGTGTCCTCCCGTGGGTAGCGCGTGGGTGCTGCCCCGTGGTCTGTGTCCTCCCGTGGGTAGCGCGTGGGTGCTGCCCCGTGGTCTGTGTCCTCCCGTGGGTAGCGCGTGGGTGCTGCCCCGTGGTCTGTGTCCTCCCGTGGGTAGCGCGCGTGGGTGCTGCCCCATGGTCTGTGTCCTCCGTTGGGTAGCGCGTGGGTGCTGCCCCGTGGTCTGTGTCCTCCGTTGGGTAGCGCGTGGGCGCTGCCCCGTGGTCTGTGTCCTCCCGTGGGTAGCGCGCGTGGGCGCTGCCCCGTGGTCTGTGTCCTCCCGTGGGTAGCGCGTGGGTGCTGCCCCGTGGTCTGTGTCCTCCCGTGGGTAGCGCGTGGGTGCTGCCCCGTGGTCTGTGTCCTCCGTTGGGTAGCGCGTGGGTGCTGCCCCGTGGTCTGTGTCCTCCCGTGGGTAGCGCGTGGGTGCTGCCCCGTGGTCTGTGTCCTCCCGTGGGTAGCGCGTGGGTGCTGCCCCGTGGTCTGTGTCCTCCGTTGGGTAGCGCGTGGGTGCTGCCCCGTGGTCTGTGTCCTCCCGTGGGTAGCGCGTGGGTGCTGCCCCGTGGTCTGTGTCCTCCCGTGGGTAGCGCGTGGGTGCTGCCCCGTGGTCTGTGTCCTCCCGTGGGTAGCGCGCGTGGGCGCTGCCCCGTGGTCTGTGTCCTCCCGTGGGTAGTGCGTGGGCGCTGCCCCGTGGTCTGTGTCCTCCCGTGGGGGTGGCGCTGCAGGAGGCGCGAGCCTGCGCCATGCGCGCCCAGTGTTCTGCGCCCACCTGTCCTGGTTGGAGATGTAGGTCCGCACGCACCACCCCCACGCGGAGCGGTTCTCTTAGAGCAGAAACCGCCCTACGCGCTGCTGATCCAGAAAAGTTCAAGCGTGGACACGGGGGACCGCGAGCCGCGCTGTGATGCGATCTGGCGGAGATCCATCTGCGCGCACTTCGTGTTCCGATCAACCGGGCCCCTCTGTGAAGCGGTCACAGCCAGTGGTCGGTATCCATCGTCTGGGTCACAGACACGTCTCGCGTGTCCTCTCAGCACCTCTTCTGAGATGAGAGTCCGCGACCCCCAGGAGGTGCCCCGCGAGTGCGGAGCCCCTGGCGGGAGGCGCGGTGCTGAGCCCGCGTTTCGCCCAGGTCCATCTCTGTGAAGTGGAGGGCATGGAGAAGTTCAAAGACAAAGACTTCGCCCTCGACGTCACCGCCAGCCAGCCCGTCCTGGTGGCCGTGAAGATGCTGCGCGCGGACGCCAACAAGAACGCCAGGTCTGTGGTCTGCGCTGCCGACGTCCCTGAGCGTCCCGTCGGGGCACCGGGGGCAGCTCGGAGCGTCGCCTTCCGTGGGGACAGGAAGGCTGAGAGCGCCTCGCGTCGTCATGGTTATGCTTCCCCCCTCTGAGAAGCATCCTCACAGCGGCTCGCCGGCTCCCTCAAACACGAACACCCACTTCCCACTGGACCGGCCACCGGCCACCCCCTCGGCCGGTGTCCCGCCGCGCGCCGCGCCCCCAGAGTACTCGTGCCTTCCCGCGGCTCCTGCTCGGCCTCTTCGGCCCTCCGTCTTGCTCTCCACTCGCTTTCTCATCCTGGTCTTCTCCTTTACGCTTTTCCCTTCTACATCCAACAACCCCCATAATGAGGAGCTACCTCCACCTGGAAAAGTGCGCGCGGACCTCAAAGCGGAGGGACCCGCAGCCCTTCCGCAGTTTCCCAGCTGGGACCCTCCCCTCCATAGGCTGCAGCCCCAGACACCCCTGTCCCACAGCCTCCCCCCAGGCACCTGGCTGCCGAAAGCTGGGCCCTGACCAGCCCCATCTGGGGGACTGTGCTGTCCCCACTTACGGTGGCCGGGTCGTCCCGCTGAGACTCAGAGTGAGAGACAGCTTCTTACCCCTCCTCCAAATCACCAGGAGCTCCAAACACAGGGACAGGACGGCGTGCAAAGCCTTGTGAAGGGCAGGATGTGGGAGGAGCAGATCCCAGAGGTTTGGGAATTTTAACTCCAGGCTTCAGGGCCTTAGTGTGAGTGACAGGTGACACCCGTGGGTCCCACAGAGAGATGGAGGCTTCCTAGTGTCAGCCTTGCACACGACCAGAGACGTGACAAGACCGCCCCCTGTTCAGTTTGGGGGGCTTGGCGGCCCGCCCTCCTCCTGCGTCCACTCCCCGGAGCAGCGGTGGGCGGCTCGAGCCATGGGGGCCCCTGGTTTGGGTCGATGTACTTGATGTGGTTTGGGGGTCCTGTTGGTCGAGTTTTCCTAGAAAACTCCCAGGGGACAGAACTGATACGCTGCAGTAATTTGGGGAAGGGGACCGGCAGTGTCACAGAAAGGTGGCCTCCACTCTGACTCCAGGGTGGTTGTCACCAATACACAATGACTGGTCCCAGCCCAGTGAGTGACCTCCTGTTGCCGCCATAACCTTTAAGCAACTCCGTGTTGGACGTTGGGACTGACGGCTGGTGGTCCCCGTACTAAGAACAGCAGCCTGAGAAGATAGGGGTTGGCAGAGAAACGGCATCTTTGCTCTGTCAACAGAACGCCTCCAGGGCTCTGACAGCAGTAAACACTGGTGCACGCGGGCGGGACTTCCCGTGGGAGGGTCACTTGCGGAGCGGTTCTGGGCGACGTTCACACTGCGTGTGTCAGGCCTGTGGGGCGCAGGGAGGCCAGCGTGGCTGAGTCGCGGCTCCTGCTCCAGGGCGTGTCGAGTGAGGCCGTCCGGGGCCAGTCCTCTGTCCTCTTGAAGGCGTGATGGGAGGAGGAGGCTTGGCTGTGCCCACTCTGTCCTCTTGATTCTGACTCTGGCCACCTCTGGGCTTGTCCATGTGTGTGTCCCTCCCAAGGAATGATTTTCTTAAGGAGATAAAGATCATGTCCCGGCTCAAGGACGCCAACATCATCCGTCTCCTAGCTGTGTGCATCGCCGACGACCCCCTGTGCATGATCACCGAGTACATGGAGAACGGGGACCTCAACCAGTTCCTCTCCCGCCACGAGCCGCCCAGCTCCGCCCCCAGCGAGGCACCCACAGTCAGGTAAGCGCCGGGAGTCCCTTCTGCCTGCCTTCCTGACACTCACCTGGGTCTGCAGACAGGGAGAGCTAACCCCGAAGTCCGCCGTGTTGCGGATGGCGGGCTGGCGGGCGGGACAGGCAAGGTTCCGGAAGAGCAGAGCGAGTGGTGGGGGGTTCGGCCCGTGTGCCGAAGCAGCTGCGAGCGTATGCCTGTGGGCTCCCTCTGTCCACGGGCGACTTTCTCTTGTTTGTGTTTCCTCAGCTACGCCAACCTGAAGTTCATGGCGACCCAGATCGCCTCCGGCATGAAGTACCTTTCCTCCCTGAACTTTGTCCACCGAGATCTGGCCACGCGGAACTGCCTCGTGGGCAAGAACTATACCATCAAGATCGCCGACTTCGGGATGAGCCGGAACCTGTACAGTGGGGACTATTACCGCATCCAGGGCCGTGCTGTGCTGCCCATCCGCTGGATGTCCTGGGAGAGCATCCTGCTGGTGAGCCGGCAGCCCTGGGCAGCGAGCGGCCGGCACCGCAGCCTGTGCCTCTGCTCTGCCCGGGACGACCGTCCCTGAGGGCTAGTCACGACTTCTATTTTATTTTATTTCTCGTTCATCCTCACGCGAGGAGATTTTTCCATTGATTTTTAGAAAAAGTGGAAGGGAGGAAGGGGGAAAATGGTTAGAAATACACCCATCGTGAGAAGGGATTTGGGATTTTTTTCCCTCTCCCTTTCTCAGGTACCGAGTGGTCTTAGTTGGTTTAGGGTATTAAAAAATCATTTAGCCCAGCTGGTGTGGCTCAGTGGTTGAGCGTCGACCCTGCACCAAGAGGTCACTGGTTTGATTCCCGATCAGGGCATCTGCCCAGGTTGTGGGCCTGATCCCCAGTGGGAGGCGTGCAGGAGGCGGCCAATCGATGTTCTCTCTCATCGATGTTTCTGTCTGTCTCTCACTCTCTCTATAAAATCAATAAAGAAAAAAAAATTATTTAAAGAACTATTATCCACATGAAATAGTGTTCTTCTATATTAATTTTATAACCGGCATATAACCATATTTAATTACTTATTTACGCTGGTCTCTATATTTTTATTTTAATGATTATCATTCTTTGCTTTATAACTTCTGTTCAGATCTTGGTCTTTGGGATCACGGGTGAATAAGAGAGACACTTCTCCTCAAATGTCCCTCCTGGAGCTATGTCTTCTGACCACCCAGGGCTGAGGTGCAGTGGGGTGGCTAATGACCCCGCCCCCTCAGCCCCTGGCCCTGCGCTGTGTCCGAGGGAGGTGGCCCTGAGCTGAGACGGGACGGTGTCAGTGGGGGAGGGGCAATTCCAGGTTATGGACCCTCACCTGTCCTCGTTGGGCACAGGTGATTCTGATGTCTCTCCCCGTCCCGATTCTAACAGGGAAAGTTCACTACGGCCAGTGATGTGTGGGCCTTTGGGGTGACCCTGTGGGAGACATTCACCTTTTGCCAGGAGCAGCCCTACTCCCAGCTGTCAGACGAGCAGGTCATCGAGAATACCGGGGAGTTCTTCCGAGACCAGGGGAGGCAGGTGAGAGCCGTCAGGGACGAGCGGGCGAGGACTTGGGTGCTCTCAAGGGAGAGAGAAAGGAAGGCCCTGAGTTCACAGGACAGGCCTGGGCTGGGAGGTGGACTACCTGGATGACACCTTTGTCACTAGGAACCCAGGTAACGTGGACGACCAGGCTGCTCCCTGGCCCCCGGGCAGACACTCTGCTTCGTGTTGCCTTCGCTGGAGGGTCAGGCCCCAGACGGCCCTTTGCAAACTCTGCTGCCGGGCGTGGGGGAGACAGGGAGGGAGGGTGGATGCTGGACCCCTGAGACTCAGCGACCACGCTCCAGGCAGCTGGCAAAGGAAGGGATGATAAGCACCCCCCTTCCCCTCCTTCCCTAACAGTCTCTCTTGTTGTTTCCGAAGATTTACCTGCCCCAGCCTGCCCTCTGCCCTGACTCCGTGTACAAGCTGATGCTGAGCTGCTGGAGGAGAGACACCAGGCACCGGCCCTCGTTCCAGGAAATCCACCTCCTGCTCCTGCAGCAGGGGGACGAGTGACGTGCGCACACCCCGCGGCCACCACGGCCAGGCCCTCCTCACGGGACCCACCACTCGCCCTGCCCCAGCCACTCCGCCAGGACGCTGAGCACCCGAGAGGCAGGGGCTCGCCTGCCCGCCTCGCCCCACTGCCCACCGCTCCACCCGGCGCCACCCGGCGCCACCTCGGCTCCACCCCAACACATATACACTTTTTTTTTTTTACATTAAAGAACTAAAAAAGAAAAAAAAAAGAAAAGAAAAGAAAGTGTAGGGCAGATACCGTCCAGTAGGGAAATCTTCACTGATGTAAAAAGTGCTGGATGACAGAGGCTGGATAATCCAGATAATTTATCGAGGTTCAATATGCTTGTGTTTATACCTGTGCAGAGTCTACAATATTTTTTTCCACGTTGCCTTTTTAGAAAAAATAGTTCCAGAAAGAAAAAAGCTTGAAGACGACGGACGTCTTAGGAGAACGGGGAGTGGGGTAGGGGACGCGCCCGCGCTCGCCGGAGGAAATGGAGTCGGTACCAAGCTGCTCTCGTGACCCTCGCGGCCTCTGGACTGGCCCCGCTGCCTTTCTCTCCCTCACACCAGCGGCCCCTGCGTGAAACCCCAGCCGCTCGGGATGGGTGCTCTGTTCAGTTGGGGGCAGGGAAGGCTGCGGGCTGTGCGCCGGGAAACAGTCTCGTGGGAAGGACAGTCCGCTGTACGGTGGTACGAAGGGGAACCATCGATCGTGACACCAGAACAGACGTGGCGCCTCCTGCGTGCCGGGGTCCTTCAGCAGAGGGTGCACTCGGGGAAAGGGGACAGGTGACAGGTGTGCTACTCATCCCTGCGGAGGGGCCTCCTCTGTATCTTGCTCGGGTGTTTTCAGGTGGGTGCCTTAGCGAGAGCCTGGCTCTGAATCGGAACAAACGGGACTTCGGTAGCTTCGTCCTGTGGAAAGTTGCCCTCTGTGGGGCTCGTGGGCTGGGGGTCGAAGTTCTTGGGCGTGTACAACAGGGAGAGATCTGTTCTGAGTTTTCCCGAAGGGTTGACCTAGGGCCAGCGAGGGGAAGCTACGGGGAGACCGATGCCCCCTCTTTACTAGGGGACACACAGGATGAATGGGCTGCCTCCGGAGGTGGGGTCCTTTGTCACTGAAGAGGTGCAGGAATCACCGAGAGTAGGGGAGACAGACAGGCTTTGGGACCCAGGGAGGTGTGTGAGATGGTGTTGGGTGGCCTTCGGCACAGATGGAGCATAACAGAGATGTCACCCACTGTGACACTTAGTAAACAGGGTGCCTTGGAGACACTGAGCAGAGGACAAAGAGCGAGACCCTGGCTTCGGAATTCACAGGGACAGATACCAGGTAAAATCGAAGTCCCGTCAAATCTGCTTCCCCACTCCATGAACCCTCAGACTCAGTGGGGAGCAGGGAAGAGGACCCCAATTCCCACTGAAGAGACAAGAAAATATGGCAAAGGAAACATCCCAGGCTTGTAAGGGGCAGCTTGACCCGTGGGTCCACGCTGTGGCCCTCATGTGGCCCCTTCACACCTGTCAGGGGCTCCGGGCCACAGCAGAGGCACAGACCCGGCAGTCGGGATGCCTCGCAGGTCCTCTTCCTCCCCCTGCAAACACCCCACACCGTGTCTGGGGCTCCGTCTCAGGAGCCTGCCCAGGAGGAACTGGAGAGCCACAGGCTGGGGGTCAGACTGAGTTGCTTTGGGAACTTGGTCCCATTTCTGCCTCAGCCAAGTGTCTCATGTTCCACGAGTCGCGTTGCCGTTGGACCTTGCTTTCCTCATGTGTACGACAAGCGCATTGCATCAGGGAGCCTGGAAGTCCCGCCCGGTTCTGCTCGTCCGGGCTCACGGGAAACCTGCATCTCTGGCCATGCGGACTGCGTTACTGCTGCCTCTGCCCAAGACCTGCGGCTGGGAGAGAGGCCTGGCGGAAGCCACCGCAGCAGGACTAGTAACACCTGCTAGTCCGTGGAGTGCTCCCCACCCACACCCTTGGCTGATACGCACGGGACCACACACCCGCCTACACGTGGGACCTGCCTCTCTCTGCTTTCAAGGTCAGTGCTAATGCCACGTCCTGTTCCGAGTTCTCCAGCGAAGCAGAGCCAGTAGAGACACACATACATTTCTGATTTATTACAAGGAGTCGGCCACCGGGTCCATCACAGGTCCGCGCAGTAGACCCAGGAGCGCTGGTGTGCGCTTCTGACGGTGGGACCGGACGGCCGAAGGCAAGTCCAGCCGAGGGAAGAGAAGGAGGGGTCAGTTCAGCCTCAGGCGGGGGCAAACTTGTCCTCGTTTTCTTCCACGTGGGCCCTCGTGGGAGTGGGTGAGGCCCCCACCCTGGACCGGGTCCTCTGCCTCAGAGGAGCAACTCACACACGAATCTCGTGTGGAAACAGCTCGCAGACACAGCGCGTGATGTCTAATCTGGCACCACACCCAGATGAATTAACATAACATCAGTCACCTCATTTCTCTAGAATTCGAGGGGTTGACCTCAGGCCCCCGCAGGGCCACAGCCCGCCCGGCCAGGACCTCTGAGTTGGCGAGAGACGTGGTTATTCCCCTCCCTCGTGTATCTCTGACCGTCCTGCCTCAGGCACTGCACTTCTGATCCCACAGAAAGCAGAGCGTGGTACCGTTGTCCTTTGTGCGATGAGGGAGGCGGGGCCCTGTAGGCTGTGGAGGAAGTCGCCCTCCTCCTGCTGTACCGGGACGGTTTCCATGCAGACGGACTGTGGTTTGGGAGGCAGGTCAGTGCGCTGATAGCCAGCCCCTCCGAGTCTCGTGGGCTCAGAGACTGTCTGGCCTGAGAGTGCTGGGCAGGATTGCCTGCAGGTGCCAAGGCAGTGGCAGAGCCCAGTGTGGGGGGTGGCACAGGAGCGAAGGTGCATGTGGCTGGATGGGAGGCAGGTGGGCAGGAAGAGGCCACCGGAAGGAGGATGGACAGACTGCGCACAGGTGGCAGCAGAGAGGCAGGGGGCATGGGGCGCAGCCGCGACTCCGTCTTGGAGACAGAGCTGAGACAGGGCAGAAAAAGTAAGTGTCTTGAAGATGAGAGGTGGACACGTACGGAGAGAGAAGCCATTCCGGGTGACGGAGGTCACAGAGACATTGATGAGAACACGAGACGTCGGGGGCCGTGGAGGAATCAGAGGGAGCTTTGCAGAGTTTGAGGAAGAGAAAGTCCCTGGTGATGCAACAGGAGTGCCCAGCAGGGAGAACCTGTCGCTCCAGAGGGCAAGTGGACCAGAGGTTGGAGCGCTGTGGCCTTGGGCAGAGAAGCAGTTCGTTTCCCCCACCCCGGAACTGGTTTTCCGAGCACTGACTCGATGCAGACCTGGACACCTGAGTTCCCCATGCTTCGTGGGCTCTGCGCCCCGACTCTTGCCTGTTAGGGGCTCACCGTGGGGCCCAGAAGGGCCATGGAAACAGGGCAACAAGAGGCTCGAGTCGGGACACTTGCAGAGCTGGGTGCAGTCAGAAGCCGGGTGCTGTTCTCACCCCACCCCGGCGTCCCACAGGGACGTGGGACTCAGCCATGTGTTCTGGTAAAAGGAGGGCACAGAAGCGGAGTCTCCAAAGAAGAAAAGTTCCAAGGAACTATTCTAAAACAGAGTAGCAAAACTACAAAAAGAAGAAGAAGAAAATGACAGTTATGGCTTACGTCACTCCCCAGTTAGGCTTTAAGTCTGATCCTGAGTTGCATTTACGGTCCTGCCCTCTTTGTCTTTTTAGTAAGACCTCTGACCTCTGACCTCTGGCCACGCATCTCACATGGCAGGCCCCTGACTGGGTCTATGCGTTTCAGATCCTGGTGTATGCTGGGAAATCCTTCTGAGTGACACTTAACTTTTTATGGAGCCAGGTGGGCGTCCTTCCCACTTGGCACAGGTCGGGATAATGACTGACAGGAGGGAGGCCGGCATGATTAGGTGATTGTGTTGCTGACTTTTGAGTTTTCTGTGAACAGCTGCATTGCCTCGTGGGAAACTGTTTCTAAAACTTGTTACTTTAAAATACTTTCAAGATTCACAAGAAGCTGCAAAACTCATACAGCGTGGCCGCACCCACTGATGACAGCCGATCTCACCATCATGCGTTTCCAAAGCCGGCAGCGGACATTGGTCTAATACCATCAGCCATAGCACAGACTGTGTTCAGATTTCATCTGCGTTCCCTGTGTCCTTGTTTAGTGTCTGGATAGGTTCAACCCCCGCTGATTTGTAACCTGGCCTTGCTTTGGACGCAAGAGAAAGACACCATCTGGATACAATTGTATAACATCCTGGAGAGAATGTAACAAATCAACCTGTTCCCTTACCAGCGAGCATGATCTTTCCCACACTCTGCCCACATCAGCTGACTTAGTTTGGCTGTTTAGCACCTGCAACAACGCAGAACAACTCGGAAGGATTCGGCGACGCAGGACAGTGAGACCTGCTATGGCTTGCTGGCCAGAGAAGCAGGTGTAGAGGGAGATCTGGGTGGTTCCTGACCTTCCTACACTGAGGAGGATTTGTGATTGTGGCAAAGACGGGACAGAGTGAACCAGGGCTTTGGTCAAGAGTAGGTGGCACTGAGCTGTGGTCCCAGCGCAGGCTGAGGAAGGGCTAGAGCACAGTGGTAAAGACCCCTAACGTGTGATAAGCAGCTATTTTTGGAATAGTAGAGAAGTTCCATGTGCCTAAACATCTATCCTGAAATGAAACACCAACCACGTTGGACCAAATGAAACGCAGACACCGCAGGGGCCTCGTGGGTGTTGAGCTTCGTGGCTCCCAGCTGTGTTCTGTGGCTGGGCCTTCAGTGCTCTTTAGGGGTCACAAGATTGTACCTTGTTCACCCTGCATACCATGTCCTGTAGCGCGCCCGCCGGGCGTGTAGTGGGCACTCCACACGTGTTTGCTGAGTGCCGTTTCTGAGTGAGTCAAATGTAGATACAGGAAGTTATCGTACTGCACAACTGGGCGAGTTAGGGACAACAGCTGTGCCGTGATGCAGAGGCTCTGTGTTCGAACGAGGGAAAGGGAGCCGGGGCACCGGGCTTACCTGGTGGAGAACAGCCTCCCTGTATTTGCTGATGGGGAGATCAACCTATGGAACACCTCATTCTCTGAGGTGTTTAGACAGCATTTCAAGGTCGTTCCGTACAAGGCATCCACCCAGGGCAGGCACCAGACTCTGCCCCAAACTCAGCCCTTTTGAAACAAGCTCTGCCTGCATCTTGTCAATGACTCCCCAGGCCGCTAAAGGAGCGGGAGTCCCAAGCTCTCCCGCGCTTACCTGCGTTCAGGTGGAGGGAGGGTTTGCAGAGATTCCCAGGAAAGCACAGTGGGGTCGGTAATCCCTTTGAGTGGAAACTTGTATTCTTGAAAAGGGGCTGGAACTAACAAAGTGGAGGATTCCGGCAAACACCCCGCGTTTGCCATCTCGCCGCTTGCTTTGTCCTTCACTGCCCACGACACTATTCCTCTCCCGGCTCCCGGTGACGGCTGAAGCCACTCGGAGCACGCCTCCTGTGCGGACGGAACACCTGGGCCTGCTCTGCAGCCTGTGGGACCACGAGGCTCGCCGAGGGGTAAAGAGCAAGCCGGCTTCATTTCTGCTTAGAACTATCGTAGTCATTCCAAAATAGAATGCGTAAGAATTCTCTGTATTAGAAAAAGAATACGATGCCAATTGTATATTTTCTTTTCTTTATTTATTCTCTGTCTGTCTGATAAGGATAAATTGTAAATATCAATGATTAAAGAAATATGCTACTGAGATGATCCTTTCTGTGCACGTGGCTCCAGGACTGAGCCTTACCCCCTCCCTCTGCCTGTCACCTTGCAGCCTGTTGGTGCAGTGATGACATGGGGGTGGGGGGTGCGAGGTGGGATAGAGCATCTTGGTCTCCGGTACTTCCAAACCTACCAGAGACTGGGATTCTGTGCTGTCACATTGGTCCAGTTCCTAGATCCAGCCCAGAATTAATTGGGGACCCTTTATTGTTACCAGTTGCCTTGTTTGATACACAGAAATCCATTCTCAATCCAAACATGGTCTGGCTCGACTGCCCCCCGCCCCCCCAAGCAACAAAAGCTGTGAGCAACCAGAATACAGACTCAGTCCTTGTAACAGAGGTGAGCAAACCACCCGACACAACCCGCTTCTCACCGGCCCCTGACACGTGTTTATCCTTTGACTTTTCTGAGTGACGGGAACACGCCGTTTCAGCGATGGCCTGGCCGTGGCAGGTGAGGGGGTGGAGACGACAGAGGCGGCCACGCTGTGTAACCGCCCGTTCTGCCCGGTGCGGCTCCGGGGCCCTCTGAGCGCCCCCAGGGTCCAAGCAGTGCCAGCCGGCCGTTCCCGCGCGATTCTACGTGCAGGGCTGCGCACCACCGGCGTCCCAAAGGGGGCGCTGCAGAGCAGGAGGTCTGGGAGAAGCGCTGCAAGGGGCCCAGTGCCTGCAGGCTCAGGGAAGGGGGGCCGTCCCCAAACCAGCTCCTAGACCCGAACCTCCGTCCCATGAGGGTTCTGCTGCACGTGCCCCAAGCCCAGAGGCCAGAGCCCGGGCCGCGCCTGCCATCGACCTGGGTCCGGGGCGCAGCGCAGGCCGGGGGCGCGCCCCTACCGCACCACCAGCGGCGAACGGGGCGGGTCACCTGCGTGGCGAAGGTGGGCGAACACGGACCGGCTGGGGGCGGGGAGCCCCTCGGCCCCGCCCCTCGGCCTATCTCATCCCACCGTGGTCCCGGGAAGGGCAGGCGCACGGCGGGCTGCGATTGGAGAGCCCAGCGCGGAGTCGATGACGCTAGCGGAGGCGGGGCAGCGTCGGGCCCAATTGGAAGGCGTGATAGGGCGTGACAAGAGGTGGCCCCGCGCCCTGATTGGGTGGTGGGCGGGGCGGCGGGGCCGGCCGGGACCTGATTGGAGAGCGTAGCTAGGGGCGTGGCGCAGCGCCGGGCCCTGATTGGGCGGCGGTGCTGGCGGGGACGCCGACTCTTGCTCCGCGAGCTGCGCGGCTCCACTTGGCGGCCGGTGTCCGTGCGGCGCGATGCGGAAGGTGGTGCTGGTCACCGGCGCGAGCAGGTGAGGCCTCGGGAGCGGCCGCGGCGGCGGGTCAGGGTCCGGGAGCCGGGCCGCCGCGGGCCTGGCCCCGCTCCTGCCCGTGCGCCCGGGCTGACCCAGCAGGGGAGTAACGCAGCCCCGTCTGATCCGCAGCGGCGTCGGCCGAGCGCTGTGCCAGCGGCTGCTGGAGGCGGACGACGGGCTGCACCTGTGCCTGGCGTGCAGGAACCGGGCCCGCGCCGAGGCCGCCCGCGACGCGCTGCTGGCCGCCCGGCCCCGCGCCCAGGTGAGCACGGTGCAGGTGGACGTCTCCGACCTGCGCTCCGTGCTGCGCGCCGCCCGGGAGCTCAGGCGCAGGTGGGCCTCCCGCCGACCGGCACTCGCGGGGCGGGGGTCGCGGGGCGGGGGTCGCACGGGCGCCGCCAGCCCGCCAGGGGGCTGGGCGGGTCCTGCGGTCCTGCCCGGGAAGTTCCCCGTGTGATCGCGCCACCGGAGTGCGAGTGTGAACCCAGTGCGGAAGAACTGCCCCAGATCCAGGCTAATGAAGCTTTAAACCTGAAAGAGCTTTCGCGCGTGGGCATCTCGCAGTTTTCTCGTGACAGTGCCCTGGAGGGAGCCCGCTGAGAGCCCTGTGGAGCCCGTGTGAGCTCATCGTCCTCCTGCGATCCTCCGTCCTTTTAGGGTTCGGAGCACCTGGCGTGAAAGTGTCCGCACGCGGGTCTTTGCTTTTAGTCTGTGGGCACTCCGATGCCGCGGTTACTACACACACTGCACTTGTCAGCTAGGGAAGGTGCGACTCAACACAGCACAAAACTTCCTGAGGCCAGAGGAGCGGTGGGGGTGGCCGCAGGGCCTCCTGGGGGCTGCGGGGCACGAAGCTGAAGGGGTGCTGATCAGAGAAGGTCTGATTCAGCCCATCGCGGCCCCCCACCGCTGCTGCAAGCGCCCCCCGAAAGGGAACACTCGGGACTAACACGCATTTTGTTTGCAGGTTTCAGAGGTTAGACTATGTGTACCTGAACGCTGGGATCATGCCCAGCCCCCACCTAAACATCAAAGCCCTTTTTTCCAGCCTCTTTTCAAGGTAATTTTCATTCAAACTGATTGTTAGGAAGGCGTTTACTCTTTGGCCTAGTGTTGCCCTGCGAGTGTTAAGTTGGGGGGCAGAGGAGGCGTTGAGAAGAATAAAGACAGAAGGGAAGAAAAGCGTTCGTCTCTTATGGGGAAAGTCTCACGTCGTGGCTTTGTGTTCTGGGTCCCCAGTGGCTGTGACACGCCCTTCAGAATTAGGCGGGTTGGCAGTGGACACCAGTCCCCAGGAAGGCGACTTGGTGTGGTGCTCTGACCAGCAGGCTCGGGAAGCGCACAGAACTCACTGTCTCCCTGGAGAGTCTCAGTACAGTGTGGTGGCTTCCGAAAATATGTGACCCCCAACCTTCAGGAGGAAAGCAATCTTACCTTGTGACCTCATGTGCTTACTCATAGAGGTTCTTATTCTTCGTTTGTTTTACTTTCTCCTATTACACACGCACACGCACACGCACACGCACGGGTCCTGCCCTGGCCCCTTCCTGCTATACTGATCTCACAGCAGACACTGTCGCAGTGTGTTCGATGCTCCAAGAAGGCCCCGTGAGGCTGTGGTGGGCAGTTTGCCTCAGTTTCAGTTTGTGCTGGGAGGACCTCTCCCCGGCGTAGCGGCTGTCCCCCAGAGATGCTGGCTTGTAACCTGGTTTGGAAAGAGGTGCAGAGGGTTTTAGCAGGTTTTTGGAGGCTCAGGTCCCTGTTGGCAGCATGAGCTGTACTGTGTGAGTACTTCTGGGGTGAAGGAGGCGTCTGAGAAGTAGGTATTTTCATTCCCATTGTTGCAGAGTCAAGGGCGTGGGGTTCGGGGCAGGGGCGTCTGCTCAGGGTTGCAGGAGCATTGCGAGTCACACGCCTGTCCTTCTGCTGTTTCAGAAGAGTGGTTCATGTGCTGTCCACAGCTGAAGGGCTGCTGACCCAGGAAGACAGGATCACCGCTGACGGGCTCCAGGAGGTCTTTGTGACCAACGTCTTCGGCCACTTTGTCCTGGTAAAGTGGTCACTTTGTCCACGCTCAGTGCTGGGTCCTGGGGCTGTCTGGGCACAGCGAGTGCTGTTCTGTGAAACTCAGTAGCGTGTCGCTGGCATCCGATCTCTGAGTATTTAAACAGGATGATCACTCTACTCGGAAAACATTGGTTTTCTACAGCAGCCTTTTGAGATATTTCTTCTTTGCCATCAACTCTGGAGAGCAGAGAGAAAGTAGAAAGAAACACATAAGGCCTTCGGAGACAATACTAAGTGGTCTTCTGAGCCGGGCTTGGCTTCAGCTAGGAAGGATAGCAGGCAAGCCGTCACTGAACAACGATTCATAGCTGATCTTCTATCGTCCTGAGTCCTGACTTCTCGCACCCACACTGTGTGCAGTTCCGGGCACAGGTGTCAGGTGAAGCAGAGATGTGGCCTCAGGTTGGTGTCACACTGTAACGTGAGTGTCTAGACCAAGTCCCGCCGACCGTGTCCAGCGGCTCATCGCTCCCCAGTGCAGGGCTCCTGTGGACGTTGTCTTTGCCGCACACACCCTGCTTCCTTGGCACTCGGAGTCACGATCACTCTCTACACTTTGAGCCCATTTTCCCTGAAAACTGGACCACCCACCTCCTTGAGCACGAGCCGATAGTTATAATAAATTAAGACATATGCAAACTTTGGGGTATTATGAAACCATTGAAGGAAATTAGAGCAATGTTTGTGCTTGTGTAGGACAGCCTCCAGGGTTTTATGCTCACGGAGAAGTCTCAGGGTCCAGAGTTAGGCAGGTTTGTGTAAACAAAGAAAGATATATCTTTATACAGCACATGTACACGTATACAATGTTTCTAGAATGATGCAGATGGGGAGCACTGGCTGTCTTTGAACTGGGTGCCAGGGCCTCAGGCGTGAGTGGGAGGGTCATGTTTCAGTCTGCACCCTTGACTACTATTTTAAAAATGATGCTAGTTTTATGGTCAAAATTTAATTAAAATTTAAGGACAAGATAGGTTGAATTCTTATCTGGTCATTTAAAAAAAATTGACAGATCACGATGTAATATTTCCTTTATCTTTTTACAATCCTCCCCTTTCTTTGCCCCCTTTGTGACTGACTGAAGTATTGGCAGTGACGTACACACATGGACTCGTGGGTGTGTCGTTTTGGCGTTGAGTTATAAATGTGCCTTCAGTTTCTTGCTCAGATCATTCCCGTTGGGTCTAATTACTCCTGTATGTCTCGGACATGCCCTCACCTTGATGGTTTTCTTTCCATTTTAAGCATGTCCTTCCAGACACCGAGATGCTTCGAGCTCACTGTGTGTGTTCCCTGCCCCTGGCCTAATCCCGGCCCTTTCTCTGAGGAGACGGGTTCCTTTATCGGAGGGTGTTAGACACCTCCACCTGGGTGCTTGTGGCTAAGGCAGCACTGGGCCCTTCTAGCTAACAGCAGGGGGTGCACAGGTGCACACTAGCCCTCGTGTGTACACATATGTATACACATGTCTACATGTGACTCTCCAGTCTTCATTGCGGGGACCTGAGTCATGCTGATGTCGCAGCTCCAGTCCACCACCGTGTGGGCATTCCGGCCCCTCCTTGCTGACCTGTGACGCCCACTCCCAGTGACACACACCTACCCCGTTCTGTTGGCCAGTTTCCGAGTTGCTGCCTGGGCCCCCGGGGACCTCGGTACAGTTCCGCCCTTTCCCCTGATCAGGTGCAGGAACTGGAGTCCCTGCTCTGCCACGGCGACGGCCCCTCGCGGCTCATCTGGACGTCGTCGCGCAGCGCCAGGCGGGCCAACTTCAGCCTGGAAGACGTCCAGCACAGCAGCGGCCGGGAGCCCTACAGCTCCTCCAAGTACGCCCTGGACCTGCTGAGTGTGGCCTTGAACCGGAACTTCAACCAGCGGGTGAGCCTGCCGCGGGCGGGCGGGCGGGCGGTGGCTCTGGGCGGTGGCTCTGGGCCGTGACTGTGCCTGTCCCGGGGCCTGCTGCTCCCTGTGCGGTTTAGAAGGTGCCACGTTGTTTCTGAGCAGGATCGCTGTGTGGGTGGGTGAGACCGGACGGGGGTCGATAGTTGGGGTGTGTGAGTGTTTCAGAGACTGAGCTTCTGGCCTCAGGTCGGGTTCACTCGCCCCCCGCACTTCCCCAGAGCCACTAGCAGAGCCACACCAACGACCCAGCTGCTGGTGCACTCGTGCCGTGTTTCAGCCGCTCACTCTTCACCTGTGTGTGTCCTGCCTTTCCCGCCACGGTGGTGGGTCCCCGTCTTCCCAGGAGGACCCCGAGGTTTGGAACGTAAGGAACTAGCTCAGGGCGGAGCCTAGACTGTCTGGCTGTGGCCTGGACTCCCCTCCCCCGCCCCCAGTGGTCCATGGGTGTCAGCACAGTGTGGAGACACGGTCATTGGTGAGACCCCCTTGTCAGTCCTGCTGGCTCCTGCGGCCCCGGCATCTGGACAGTGCTGTGTCCTTGTGGCTCTCAGCTCCTACCATCTCCTGTCCTTCCCACGGTGCTCCCCTGATTGCTTTCTGTGGGAGTGAGGCCGGAGCAGTTCGATTCCACCAGTGCTGGCAAGGACTGACCACGTCTCGGGCGCCAGGCCAGGCTTGGGGTTCAGGGGGAGGGAGAAATCACCAGACCCCATGAGGCCATCTGCCCGTAAGGGGGCCACTGGGACTAGTGGTCAGCCTCTGTGGCGCTTTGGACCTGCTCTGTCCTGGAGCAGGGACCTCTGTCAGGTGGGGTCTCGAGTCTGTGTCCAGCCATTGCAGTCCTGTCTCTGAGAGGAGAGGACACATCAGAGTACGAGCTGAGAGCATCCTGCTGGTACCGGACTGATCCTGGCTGTGTCGCTGGCCCTGTGACCTCGGGCAAATGTTTACTCTCCTCAGGCCTCACTTTCCTTATTTGACAAGTAGAGACGCAGTGGTTCCTGCCTCCTGGGGAGGGCTGAGCAGGGTGGGCCTGGCTGTCACAGAGCCTTGCACTCGAGCGTGCGGGTGGGTGTTGTGGGTGTGCACACGGATTGGTCTGCGTGCAGTGTGTGCACGTGTTCTGTGCGTGTGGGTGTTGTGGGTATGCACACGGATTGGTCTGCGTGCTGTGTGTGTACGTGGTCTCTGTGTGTGGGTGTGCACACGGATTGGTCTGCGTGCTGTGTGTACATGTGGTCTGTGCGTGTGGGTGTTGTGGGTATGCACACGGATTGGTCTGCGTGCTGTGTGTGTACGTGGTCTCTGTGTGTGGGTGTGCACACGGATTGGTCTGCGTGCTGTGTGTACATGTGGTCTGTGCGTGTGGGTGTTGTGGGTATGCACACGGATTGGTCTGAGTGCTGTGTGTGCACATAGTCTCTGTGTGTGGGTGTGCACACGGATTGGTCTGTGTGCTGTGTATGCACGTGGTCTGCACGTGTGTGTGCCTACTGTGTGCTGGCTGCTTTATTCTTGGTATTGCTGTAGTTTGAGCCCAGTGCACAGGTCCGGCCCAGACCCTCAGGTCACAGCTGTTGTTCCCTGGACATGCCCTTGTCGGGCAGAGTGGACCAACTGGTCTTTCCATAGACAGCTCTGGGGTTTGGGTGAAGTCACAGTTGTCAGGTGAGGTCTGGGACTTCGTCTTACTTAGAGAAGGGAGACTGAGCCCTGGCCAGGTGGCTTAGTTGGTTGGAGCGTCACCCTGTGCACCGAAAGGTTGTGGGTTTGAGTCCCAGTCAGGGCACATACCTAGTTTGTAGGTTTGCTCCCCATTCAGGGTGTGTATGATCGATGTTTTTCTCTCCCTTCCTCTCTCCCTTCCTTCCTCTCTCTCTCAAATCCATAAACATCCTCCAGGGAGAATAAATACAAAGAGGGGCTTCGCCAAGGCCATTGCCTCCCAGCGTGTGCGCCTGGCTCTCAGCCTCACTGTGTCCTTGGCCTGTGCTCGGAGGAGCCAGGAAAGAACACGTCCTCCCGAGCCAGAGTGACAGACACGCTGTGGGCCCCAAGGGGCCCCTGCTGGAGCCCACGGCCTTTCGGAAACACGGGGACCTCGCAGTCCCCGGCCAGCCCAGGCGGAGGTGGTCGTGGCCCAGCCCCCCCCGTGTGCGTCTGCTGTTGCTCGGTGTCCGAGGTTAGTCCACGGACGCCTTCGCTGCGGCTGCAGGCTCCCGGACAGGAGGCTGCCCTCAGCCCTCTTGGGGGAAGATGTGCGACTTCTTGGGAGGAATTTCTGTCCTGAAAGTCTGGCGAGCCCAGGTCTGTGTGTAACTGCGGGGCTCTCAGGGCTGGGTGAAGGCTTGGTCCCCACACCTCTCCACCCCGAACAAAAAGGAAGCTTCGCAAATCTGTCTGTGCATGGGCACCTTCTGCTTTCCATGTAAAAGAATTAGATTAAAAGTAATAAAAATATTAGTTGAAATGCTCAATATCAAAATAATGTCAAAAGTGGTAAAAATTAAACTGAATTCACCAGCAAAATAAGTCCCAGTTTGCAGGGTCAGCCCAGAGGGCGCAGCCCCGGCACCATGGCTGCGTCCCCGGCTGTCTTCAGGGCAGAGCTTGCTGAGACCACAAGTGGGCCACAGCCTGCGGCGGGTGTGGGGGGGTCTCTGCGACCACATGGCCCTCGCGCTTGGCCGGAGGTCAGGGTGTGTGCACCTGCAGGGAGGCAGACGCCCATTGCGTCGAGTCTTATCTCCCAGAGCGGAGCCTGGAGGCAGAGACTGGGCTGTGTGTCTTTTTATCTCCAGTGAGTTTTGGGATAAACCTGCAGCCGGCCCAACAGCGTGGAAAAGTCAGGGACCAGACCCTCTTTCTCAGCTTCAGGCCTGGCTGCTCCTGTCCAGGAAGTTTCTGGAGTCGAGAGACTTTGTCTCAGTCGTTTCGCGTCCTGAAGGCCCTTCAGACATTCTCAGTCCCCTTCCTGCCGTGGCCTGGCTGGTTGGCGCCGGCCCCAGCTCAGCCCTGCCCGCCACCCTCTGCCCCCAGGGCCTGTTCTCCAGCGTGGCCTGCCCGGGGACCATGCTGACCAACCTGACCTACGGGATCCTGCCCTCCTTCCTGTGGACGCTGATGATGCCCCTCATATGGCTGGTGAGTGCGCCCACCCGCCTTCCTCGGTTACGCAGTCGGCCCTTTGATTCGGGACCAGAGGCACGTGAGGGCTGGGGACTCGCTTAAGACACTGAGCCCGGAAGTGGCAGAATCCACGTCAGTCACACGGAACCTCTGCTTCCTACCAGCCGACTGTCCCCGCACATGTCCGCGTGTCCCCTTCCCCGAGAGGGGTGTTTCCCTGAGCACACTCCAGGGGCCCCAGTAGGCCTGGGGGAGGGAACCGGGGCCGAACGACAGTCAGCGGGCTCCTCCGAGCCATGCGGCCGCGCCTGCCGAGCCCGCGGCGAGCGTGTTCCGGCCACGGAGCCGCGCGGGCTTTTCCGCTCTGCGTTTCACGCATCTCACAGGGGCTGTGCCCCCAGCACATGAGGGCAGGCTCCTCGTGGGAACTGTCTCCGCATCGCAGAGCCCGGGACACAGGTCCCTCCGCCACGCCAGGCGGGGAAAAGCCAGAGGGACTGTGCCTTCATGTCCCGGTGGTTGGCTCGGAGTGGAGCAGGTTGTTTGTTTGTAGACTTATTTTCGGACACTTCGGAGATGTCCGGCGGTAGGAATGAGGTTGTCTGGGGATGCGAGTGAGGGACCCGTGCGACTGCTCACGGCCACTCGGCGACGCTGGTCTCTTCCCCCAGGTGCGCTTCTTCGCGAACGCTTTCACCCTGACGCCCTCCAACGGAGCTGAGGCCCTGGTAGGTGCTGGCAGGGGAACCCCACGGAGCCCGGCGGGGGAACAGCCTGCGCCCTGTGGACAGCGCGGTCCTGTGGGGGCCAGGGCGGGGCTCCAGGGGCCTCGGGAGTGAAGTCGGGGGGCAGGGTCCGCCGTGGGACTGGCCTTGGTTGTGGGGGCGGCACTGGGGGCCGAGCGTGGGCTCCGTCCTGGGGAAGGTGCGTCTGTGGGCCAAGGGAGGGGCTGTGGGGCCCGGCCTGGGAGGACTCTCCCTCCGCTGTCCCGTCGGAGCCGGTGGCCCCTCCGCGGGGAAGCAGTGTGTCCTCCAGAGCACAGGCCAGCGGGGCCCGTGTTCCCTCCTCAGGCAGACTTTCACACGGCGTCCCCGCGGCCTCTGCTGATGGGTTGGGTCGCCCAGGTGACCCCGCACAGGCTCTCTGCTGTCCCTGAGCCCCGCGGTGGTTTGCGAGACTGATGAGTAGCTGTCCCAGAGGATTGATGTCGTGTGTCTGGAGCGAGGCGCTGGCTCAGTCCCCAGCAGCCGCGCTGGCCTTGGGCAGGACAGAAACCGTCCCCGCCCCCTCCTCTCCAGGTGTGGCTCTTCCACCAGAAGCCGGAGTCTCTCAACCCCCTGACCAAGTACCTGAGCGCCACCACCGGCTTCGGGAGCAACTACGTGACGACCCAGAAGGTGACCGGGCCACTGTCTCGGGGGGTCCCCGCCCGCCTTTCCGCTGCCCCTTCTCCAGCTCTCGCACGTGAGCGCCTTCTGTTCCGCGGCCGCTCGCGTCACCCCTCGGTCACCATCGTCCCCGCCTCCTTTCCAGATGGACCTCAGCGAAGACACGGCTGAGAAGCTCTACCAGAGCCTCCTGGACCTGGCGCAGCGGGTCAGGGTCACCATCCTGGACGCGGACTAGCAGAGCGCGGGACGGCCCCTCAGCGTCCCTGTGGCACGTGGGTTCCTGTCGGGAGGATGGTGTCGTCTGTCTCCCTCCCTCTGTCCGGTTTCTCGCTAAGGCTGTGCGCTCGTCAGAAAAGGTTCATGCTGTGAGACATCACTTAGCTGTTCTCTGAACGGTGACCGCCAGGCTCTGCCCGTCTCCCGGCAGTGACCCCTGTGCTCGTGGGTTTGTTCTGCCACCTGGGCCCAACCACGTCTGGGACGAGGCGTGACCTTGAGCAGCGAGACGCGGGCTCACCGGCTCCCACCGGCTCCCCCGCTGGCCTGCCCTGGCAGGACACACGGCCACTCTGAGTGGCAGCAGCCTCAGCTGCCCCTTCTCTGAGCATCTCCTTAGGTCTCTGACCCTGACTCTTCCCACCGCCGCCCACAGCCCTGGGTTCTGAGCCCTGACCGCCCGCCAGGTGCCGCGGGAATGGGGGTGTCCTTGAGCCGCCTGTGACTTCTTACCTCATTCTGCTTTTCTAATCCTCACCCAAGGGCATTTTCCCGATGATTTTCAGATGGAGGGGGAGGGAGGGAAGGAGATGGAGAGAAACATCGATGTGAGAGAGACCACTGAGTGGTTGCCTCCCACACGACCCCAGTCGGGCCTGGGATTGAACCTGCAACCCAGGTCCATGCCCTTGACCAGGAATTGAACCCATGAACCTTTGTCCACAAGCCTGCGCTCTAACCACTAGCAACACTGGCCAGGGCTCTTCCCTTGTTTCCAAAGGCTGCACTGACCCTGAGGTCGGCCCGTTACCACGGCCTGGCTGCTAACACCGTCTGCAGGTCTGTGACTGACCAACCGTGAACTTGCACAAAAAGTGATTTACTTACGTTGTCTCAATAAAACTTTTCGACAGGCGTGGCTGGGCAGGCTACCTGCTGGTGTGGGCAGTGGTCGGGAGTCGGTGCAGACTTTGTTTCCACGACATGAAGACAAAAACGCTGAAATGCTTAGGTGTCTTTACCCGAAATGTAACCAGTACCCGCGATAAATAAAGTGAAGTTTTGGATGAGCCCGTAAAAGTGTAAAATTATGGAAACGTAATTGCTAAGCATTTTGAAGTGTGACATCTGCTCTGATCTCTCTGGCTGTGCTGCCAGAGCCATTGTGGTGACTGAGCACCTGTGAGAGGTGTCGCCGGCCCGAGGGCAGGGCCGGCTCTGCCTCACCACCCTCCCTCCCTGGGATGGAGGCAGCACCGCGGACGCCCAGTCCCGTCTGCAAGGTGGGGTGACCGTCTGCTCGTGGGGGGTGTGCGTTGGATGCAGCCGTGTGTGAGGGAGGGAGGGAGGAGCATCTCCTGGACGGACGGCACGAAGCTTTCATTAGAGAGGAAGGTGAGCACCGGGCTCGGCACGGGGTACACGCACGGTTCTGTGCAGTGTGGTGTGGACAGACCGGCCGGGGTTGGCCAGGTGTGGAGAGGGGCCCAAGCCGGAGGGGCCTGCAGGCATGTGTCCCGTCTGCAGGTGCAGGTGGACGTGGCGGGTTCCGCCAGCGCAGAGGCCCGGGCGGCGGCCACACTCACTGCCTGTGGCCCACCCCTGGCCTCCGGCTGTGGCTGTAGGAGACGCACGCAGAAGGCCGAGCTCACCGGGGTGGTGGTGATGGACATGGTCAGGAGGAGGCTGGAGAAGCTCAGGTGGGCGAGGGCTGGGCAGCGCACTCAGCGGGCGCTCTGCCCGCCAGCCCAGCCTCGGCCACTGAGCGCACGTTCCTGCCCCGTGTCTGCCGTCCTCTTGCTGCGCGGGAGGCGATGGGGGGAGCACGTTTCCTGAGAATTGTTCGTGCTCGGGTGCGAGTGTGATGTGAGCAGGCCGAGGTGGGACTGAGAAACCCAGCGGGCCACCTGGAAACCAGGCAGGCTGCGCCCCGGCCGGTCTCAGTCGCCTCTGAGTTCCTGCTCTAACCTTGGACGTGACCCCGAAACGGGCCTTGCCGTGTGGCCAGCAGGTGGCGCCACAGTACCTGAAGCCCTGGAGCCCTGTTCACAAGGCAGAGCCGCATCTTTTTTTTTTTTAATCCTCACCCGAGGGCATTTTTCCATATTTTGTTCAGATGGGGAGGGAGCGAGAGAGAGAGAGAAAGAGAGAGAGAAACAACGTGAAAGGGACACATCAGGTGGTTGCCACCCGCACGACCAACCAGGGCCGGGGACAAACTGCAACCGAGGTACGTGCCCTTAGCGGGAACCGAACCCGGGTCTCTCTGGACCGCAGGCCGACGCTCTAACCGCTGAGAACACCGGCCGGGGCAGAGCCGTGTTTTTGACAGCAGCAGCAGCAGGGGTGCGGTCGTGACCTGTTCTCGGGAGACTGTGCCCCTCGCTTGTCTGACCTGTCGCGTGGATCCCAGGAAGTGGAAAAAGCAGGTTTGAAATGAAATTGGGGCAGAGGACACGTGTCTCCAGTGGCTGCCGTGTGTCACTGTGCCGGGTGCTGGGGGTCAGAGAGGAGGTGGCGCAGACGCCGGCCCGCTCTGGGTCGCAGGATCCCTGTGCCCGAAAATCTCCGCAATGCTGAGCAGCCTCTCGAACTCGGGGGGCACCCTGTGCCGCAGGTAGTGGGCGTTTGCAGCCTTTGCGGACAGCTCGAGGTAGGAGGCGGCTGAGGCCTGGCCACTTAGGTGTCCCGCGCACGCAGGGGCCCTCGGGGACACGTGCTCCTCGTTGCGGAGGTCTGGCTGCAGGTTCCCGTCTTCTGACCCGGCCTCATCACCCTGAGCCTCTCCACGGCCACCTGCTGGGCCGGGGCCTGGGTCTGGGGCGTCGGTGGGGGCGGCCTGGTCTGCTGGCGGCTCTTCGGGGACACGAGAGGGCGCACAGCCTTGAGACATCGATGGCTCCTTGCTGTCTGCGGGGTCCTCGAGGCCAGTGTGACATGGAGGGGGCCCCTGGGACCCAGCTCTGTGTACTTCTTGGGGTGTGGTTGTTGCCAGTGCTCTGGGAAAGGGGGTAGAAGAGAGTCCTCTGAGACCCAAGGGAGATGTCCGTGTCCCGAATTCTCAGGTTACGGGACCACGGGCCCCCACATGGTGCCGCCGGGATGACAAGGTGGGTGAGGAGGGGGTGAGGGTGAGGCAGGGCCAGGGTGTCTGTGCTGCTGGGACAGCGCTTCCTGGGACAATGGGAGGAGACAGTGGGAGGAGGGTCCGAGCCCTGGGCTGCCTGAGTGAGGTCTCACCTGCCCGCCGGGGCCCGCGGGACCCCTGGCTCCCCTCCCTGCGGCGGGCGCTGGGGAGCAGCTCCTGGTCTCTTCTGAATTCCGTTCCCGAGGTAGGAGGAGCCCCTTTTCTGGATGATCTCTGCTTTGAGTTAACTCATGAGTGTTACGGGTGAACTGTGCCCTCTCCAATGTCATACATCAGGGTCCTAACCCCCGGAGCTCAGAATGGACCTCTGGGGCGACCTTGACAGAGGTCGTCACGCTGAGGTGACGTCACTAGGGCGTCCCCAGGCTGATATGACTGGTGTTTGTGAAGAAGTGGAATTTGGACACAGACACAGGCTGAGGGAGGAGAGAGCCTGCCCTGGTGGCTTCGGAAGAGCAGCCCTGCCCACACCCCGACTTCCGGCTTCCAGCCTCCAGAAGGGAGGCCATGCACTGCGTTGTCGAGGCCCCTGGTCATGACGGCCCCGAGCCCTGGCAGAGAGGAGAAGGAAGAGAAGCCGGAAGCCGGTTCCCTGTGCCGGTGCTGATGACAGACGCAGACAGAATCATGACGACCCCAGGGTTGGCCTAGGGTGCTCACCCCTTCACCTGGCCAACGCCCTGCGTTAGACCTTCAAGCCTGGGCCTGAGCCTGGAGACTGCTATGAGGTCTCCCCTAGCCACTGAGCCAGAGGCCCCTTCCAACCACTGAACACGACACCTGCCCCTCCCAACCCTGTGGGCTGAGATCTAGTCTCCTGCACGGCCCACCCGCCATGGAGCTGTTTGGGGGCAGGGGATGGAGACCGCCTGCCCCGCCCTGCCCCTCAGGCTTTGCAGGCCGAGCTCTCGCTGGCACGTCCTGCTCACGGTGCACGGCGCCCGCTGCCCACCTCGCCGCCCGCCCCCCCTGTCCTGCGGGCTCACCTAGCTGCAGCCTCTGCAGGTGTCCCTGCAGCTGTCTCTGCTCCCAGCTCAGCATCCTCAGCTGGTACCGGTAGGTCTGCTCCAGTCTCTGCAGGTGCTGGCTGAGCCTGGCTTCAGCCTGCTTGGCCTGCTTCAGCTCCAGATCCAGCTGCTTGTGCAGCCGCCCCCTGACCGTGCGCCCCCCTGCCCCCTGCATGCTCTGGAGACAGGAAACCAGGCTCTCCCAGGCTGCACGGAGACCCCGACACCGCAGGACTGGGCTCTGGCCCCTGGCTTCCCCCGAGATGGGTGAGGGGGTTCTGCGTCCCCTGGATCTACAGCTGCTTCATGCGCCGAGGTCGCACGGTAGTGAGTCGAGTTGCAGAGGACCCAGCGGGGTGGGGGTCGGTGCTCCTCTGAGCCTCGGTCTCTGCAAGGAAATGAGTGGGAGAGGACAGGCCCCCCCCAGCCTAGGCACTCGGCTCTGAGGACCAGGGGGAGAGCACTGGGCTCTGAGGACCAGGGGGAGAGCACTGGGCTCTGAGGACGAAGGGGAGAGCACTCGGCTCTGAGGACGAAGGGGAGAGCACTCGGCTTCGGGGAAGAGAAGACGTGTTCTGTGAGGACAGCCCCACCCACCGACAAGTCGTTCAGCTTCCTGGAGGGCTCCCGCCCAGGTCTGAGGATGCGGGGACTTGGGGCCCTTCTGTTCGTTCAGTCACACAGACAGGCCCACGAGCCGCGATCGGCCCCTGTCATCTGCTCCACTGAGGACGAGGGCCCGTCGATGGGACGCTCCCCTACTCCCAAGGAGACGGCAAGCTTGTGTCTCCGGAGCGCAGAGCAGGCCTGCCGGCCGCGCGGCACAGATGTCCGGACAGGTGTCCCTGGGGCCTGACCAGCGCCTCAGCTGCCACCCTGCACCTCCGGACCCGAGGACCCAGCCCGGGGTGGCTTCTCCCTCCCTGGGCCGCCCCCTCTGCTGGGCCCCTGGCACGGAGAGCTAAGCACTCAGGTGTCGGGTCCTGTCAGCACTGGGGCGGCCGGCAGAGCACCGGGAGGGTGAGGCCCGGGCACAGCCGAGCTGCCTGGACCTCTGCTGGAGGCCGGAGCCGCTTACCTCAGCCTCGCACTGCCGCTCCGTCCTGTGGGGCTGACGGGCTGGTTTTCCTCAGGCGCCCGGGGGCCTGGTGCGGGGGTGCGGGGCGCCCATGGGGAGCACTGAGAGCTGGCTCCCTGGGCTCGGGTACGTCCCGGGCTCTGAGTGCTCCTCAGGGACCTGTGCCAGAGTCCCGCCCTCCACAGGAGCGTCCCCAGCCCTGCTGTCCTGGCTGTGTCCATGGCAGCCAAGGGAGAGGGAGGGGCGTGCCTGCCCCCCATTTCCCTCTGCTCCGCCTTCCCCCCAACCCCCCACTCCTACTTCTCGGAAACCAGATCGGGCCTCAAAGGAGGCTCTTCTCGGATTGTGCAACTTGTGCTGGGACCGCAGGTATGTGTTCCGTTGACTGCGCACCGCGACGGTCCCAGGCTGGCCCCGCCCCCGCCCCTGCCCCCGCCCCCTGCCCCTGCCCCTGCCACAGCGGCTGGGGACACGCCACAGTGGCTGCGACCCTTGGTAATGGAGCAAGGTGTTCATGGATTTGGGTCATCGCCGTGGGCATCCTCTGAGGACAAGGTCACCAGCGCCCACGGGGCATGAATCTTCCCAGAACTTCCGGGACGCAGCCAGGCCGGCCTGTTCCCCACGGTCGTCCCCAGCAAACAGGCTCTGTGAGGAGTTGCTGGGAAGGGACGGTGCACTGTCCTCTCCCTTCCCCTCCCCCGATGTCACCCCGTCTCCTCCAGACGGCACCTGGGGTCCAGGAGCGTCACCAGCCAGAGTGGGCGCCTTGTCCCCCTCTGGACACTCGGCAGGACCACAGAGCTGAGCCCCCACCTTGGTGGCACCATCTCAGCAAAGCAAGTGTCCCGAGAGCGTGTGGCCCCGGGGAGGGAGTGGCAGCCACGTCCTCAGAGCGCGGGGACCTCGGGGTTTCCTGGGGTCAGGAAGGGGCGTGGGGCTGCGGGAGCAGAGCTGTGGCCTTGCCCTCGGGAGTCGCTCGGTCACGTGGGGCTTTGCCCAGAGCAGGCAGAGCCCGGGCGGGGCTACAGGGCTGACGGCGGGCACCCTCCTCCAGCCCTGGGTCTTGGGGGCAGAGGAGAGCAGGACACAGGGATCAGGACCGGTCAGGACAGGACCAGGGATGCCTCGTCCATCCCCTCCTGTCCCCAGCCTGAGGCGCAGCACTGGGAAGACAAGGAGAGGGGGACGGTCACCGGTGCCCCTGGGTGGAGACGGAACAGGCAGAGCGGTCACCACCTCCCTCCCGACCTTGCCCTCCAGTGGGGATGGGATTAAACCCGCACGAGACCGGTCCTTCCATGCAGACTGGACTCTTACTTTTTATTTTGTTTTTCACTTCGAATCCTCGCCCGAGGATGTATTTCCATTGCTCTTTCAGGGAGAGTGGGAGGGAGAGAGAAACACTGATGTGAGAGAAGCACATTGATTTGTTGCCTCCTGCAGGACCCCGATCAGGGCCGGGGATTGAACCCCAAGTGAGGTCTGTGCCCTTGACTGGGAATTGAACCCGAGACTGGTCCTCAGGCCGACGCTCTGACTGCTGAGCCAAACCAGCCAGGGCCGTGGACTGGACTCTCATAACCACCGTGGCCAGCATTGTGCCCGGACTGTCCGGAGAAGACGGGCAGACACTCCGTCCGCACGGGGCCCTGGGCACACATGGCCACTGCCAGGCCGTCCTGCCGGTCAGCAGCGGCCCCGACTCGGGCGTGCGCAGACCTCAGCGCCCTTCGTGGTCTGTCCCTTTCTCCGTGGAGGGAGCCCCTTCGGAGGAGGGTTCTGTTCACAAAGCCCCTGGCGGTGGCCTGGCTCCCGCTGTGTCGCACACGCTTGCCAAACGAAGCGTCATCAGGAAGTAAAACGTCTGCCCGAGAACTCAGGCGATGCAGACGATCCATCTCCTGTTCAGTGACTGACCGAGAGCTCCGCAGGCCTCGCACACTGAAGAGCCGGCGCGTCCTCGGAAGAGAGCCAAGTTCTCACCACATCGCGAGTGGGGAGGCCCAGGCCGTGGGGAGCAGGTCCTCCCACGGGGTGGGTCGGCCCCTCCCCTTCTGCTCCCCAACTGGCTCACCTTCCTTCCCTGCCGAGCTTCCCACGGTCTTCGTGGTTTATTTTGAAATAAATGTTTTGTGAGTTGCCAGGCGTCTGGAATCCGGCAGCTTTGCCCAGGGCGTGTTGCTCCAGGGGGGACAGGAGGTGCCAGGAATAGGCTGGACAGGCCCCTCTGTTCCTGGGGGGAGGCCTCAGCCCCCGTCACTCAGTGGTCAGGTGGCTGCAGCCTCCTTCAGGGGAGAGGACAGGTGTTTGCACACCCCCCTCCCCCGCCCTCATCTAACGGGAACTGCACAGGAGGCCGTCCCCTGGCCACACGCCCAGGTCACCCCGCCTGCACGCGGAGCACCGCACCCCCCCGAGTGTCTCTGGGCCGGCAAACAGATCTGCACAAACTGAGAGATTTAAACCCACAGAAATGCGTCAAGGTGGGAACTTCACCTGTCCCAGGTCCCGTGGCTCCGACGCTCCTTGGCTGGTGGCCACACGGGTCCGGTCTCTGCCCCCTCCGGTCTTCAAGGAGGTCGGTCGTATGCGTAGGGCCCATCCCCATTCAGTGTGACCTCACCCGAAACCAGTCACACCTGCAAAGACCGTGCTCCTCAGGCAGCCTCCGTAGGTGCCGGGGGTTCGGACTGGATCATTCTGGGGACCACAGGCAGCCGTGACAGGGTCTGTGAAGAAGTCCTATGGAGCCCTTTCTTTTGGGTTGGTGTTACTCCATTTTTATTTTCTTTGTTTTATAAATAGATGAGTATTTTTTAAAATTTAAAATCACTGGCAATATCGACTGTGATCATTCTTGGGAGAGAAACTTGTGGTTTCTGCGTGGGACACAAGGTGGCGCTCCTGAACCACACCTGTGGGGCCCTGGCTACAGGGGCGAGGGTGGGAGCCCCAGCCTTTCACCCCCTTTCTTCCAGCTTCCTGGGGGCTCGGCCTGAAGTCCCCACACCCCGTTTTGTTGAATTGGTTTTCATTTTTTGTATCGCCACTAAAGCTGAAGCTGTTTTTTTCGCGGCAAAAGTTAGGAGACGTTTTTAAAGGATAAACTTGCGCCGCACAGCTCCGTTCCCTCTGCTTGCGTGTTCGTGAAAGAAGACACGCCGGTCGGGGAGGAGAAATCCCCAGGCCCTGCCCACAAGCGCACCTCGACAGTCATGAAATCGGGGTCCAGAGAAGGGGCTTTGAAACCAAACGTGCCCCAAACCAAGGTGACCGGAGGCTTGTGGCTGGGAGCCGCCCGCCCGGGCCCGCGGCCCAGGTTCCTGGAAATGGCTGAAGACTTTGCTGCTGTCTGTCTGTCACCTGCCTCGGCCGCCACCCCCTCGTGGGGTTGGTTCCTCGTCAGGCTTGAGGGACACTGGAGCCAGCACAGAGCTGTCCGGCGTCCCCGGGCCATCCTGGGGAAGGGAGGTTGTTTGGCATGAGCCCCTCTCCTGTGCCCTCCGCCCTTTGCCCACTTGTCCGCCTTGCGCAGGCTCACGGATCCAGGGCTGTGCAGGTGGGAACCATTTTCTCTGCGGCTCGAGGACCTCAGTGGCCCCCAGCATGGCCTCCTCCCACCTCAGCCTGGGCCGTCTGCAGAGGTGCCGGTCGCTTTCTGCGTGAGGTCCCTCATCTGTCCCTGCCTTGACCGAGCTCCGTCTCCAGCCATGTCCCTGAGAGAGTGGACATGCGTGGACAGGGCAGGCGGGAGTAGATGACAGCGGGGGGTGTGCATGTGTGCATCATGTGTGTGCATGTGTACATGTGCATAGATGGGACTCTGCTCCCAGCCTGGGCCTGTGTCCACTCCCCACATTCTCCTCCGTGTCCCCAAGGGGGGGTGTCAGGTCCCAGCAGATGCTCACTAAGTGTGGCTCCCAGCCTGGGCCTGTGTCCACCCCCCACATTCTCCTCCGTGTCCCCAGGGGGGGGTGTCAGGTCCCAGCAGATGCTCACTAAGTGTGGCTCCCAGCCTGGGCCTGTGTCCACCCCCCACATTCTCCTCTGTGCCCCCAGGGGAGGGTGTCAGGTCCCAGCAGATGCTCACTAAG